AGATTCAAAGAAGTCCGCCGAAGATCTCGCTAATAGAGACGCTCTTTTGAAAGAAAAGGAAAAGAAGATCTTTGAACTCCAACAGGAAATTCAGAAGGTCAAGGATACCGCCGAGGAGCTGAATCAAACCACCAAAACTCGGGACAGTACCCTTTCTCAAAAGAACGAGGAACTGCGTAAGCTTAGGGAGCAGATCAAGCAACTGGAGGATGAAGCCAGCAGCCTTAAGGTAGACAAGGAGGCGCTTGGTCGGATGATCAATACCAGGGATAGCTCTTTGAAGCAAAAGGAGCAAGAGATTTCTGGCCTGGAGAAAGAAATCAAGCGTCTTTCTGAGCAGGCTGCTAATCTCACACAGGAAAAGATCGATCTGGGACAAACCATTGGCGCTAGAGATGCTTCCCTGCTGCAAGCGAACAAGGACATCGATGGCCTCAAGGGTAGCATCAAGATACTCGAAGAAAAAGCTGCCGAACTCTCGAAGCTGAACGCTGGACAGCATCAAACCATTGGCGAGAGAGATGCTTCCCTACAGAAAGCCAACGAAGACATCGACAACCTCAAGGGAAGTGTCCAGAAACTGGAAAACAAAGCTGCCACACTCGCAGAAGAAAAGGCACAAATGGGCCAAACCATGGGCGCCCACAAAACTTCCCTGCTCAAAAAGGACGAGGATATCAAGAAACTCACGGAAAATATCCAGCGACTTACAGCCGAAGCAAATGATCTCAAGAAAAGCATCGAGAACCTTACCGAGGACATCGCCATCCAGAACAAGGCCCTCGCGCAAAAGGAGAAGGACATCCAGAACATGGAAAAGACCATCCAGGACCTCAACACCGAAGTCACCAGGCTCAAGACCAACGCCGCAGAGCACAACCAGAAAACCACCGCCAAAGATGCCACATTGACTGCAAAGAACGACCAGATAAGGGAGCTGAACGATCAAATCAAGCAACTTACAACCGAAGTTGCCAAGCTCAAGAGCGACGCCGCCGGCCTGAACCAAGCTACCATGTCCAAAGACATGGTACTAGCCCAAAAGATGGAAGAGATCAACGGCCTTCGCAACGAAATGGTGGAACTTAACAAGGCTCTCGACATCAGGGATACCACTCTCTTGCAAAACACGGACGAGATCAATAAGCTCAAGGAAAACGTCCGACGACTTGGTGACGAAACTTCAAAGCTCAAGAAGGACACTGTAAAGCTGAAGGAGGACAGTAAGAGCTGGGAGGAGACGGTGAAGCAGCGCCAGACGGAAATCAACAAGCTGAATGATAACATCAAGAACCTGCAGGAGGAGATTAAGCGGAAGGAGGCGCTTTTGGCAACACGGCAGGGTGAAATTAATGCGCTCAAAGACGAAATCGTCAGCCTCAAGAAGGATCTCGTCGAAAAGGACGCTCAGCTGAAGAGTCGCGATGGGGAACTTGGAAAGTTCAGGAAGAGTATCGCAGCCAAGGAAACTGCCTTGGGGCAACTCGAGAAGGAGAAGACTGCTCTTAGGGAAAAGGTCGAGCAGCTTGAAGGAGAAGTTGGTCGCAGAAGGAGATCATTAGACCTCCGTGCGGATAAGATCCTGGAGCTCACGAAGTCCGAGAGCGCAGCGCAATTGGACTTGGATAAGCAGAGAGCCAGGAACAAGAGCCTCGAGGAGACCAACGCCGGACTGCGAAATCGTGCCGCTAAGGAAGGCGATTCGCTTGGTCGGTTGGGTGACGAGGTCACGAAGCTTAGCCGCCAAGTTCTCGAAAAAGATAATGATCTGGCCAGCCTGCGGGCCGAGCGTGACGGTCTGCAGACCGATATCCAAAACCTTACCAAAGCCCTCGCTGCCGAAGGCGCCAATGTCTCCCAACGCGACGAACAAATCGCCCTCCTCAAGCAAGAGCTCACCACCAGACAAGCCGCCCTTGACGCAAACCAGGCAGCCATCAACACGCTCGAGTCCCAACTCACCGAAGCGCAACAAGCCTACGACATACTTGCCTCCTCCAACACCACCTCCCAGGAGGAACTTGCCCGCTCCGCCGCCGCCACGCAAGCCCGCCTGTTAACGTGCGAAGCCGAGATCGCCTCGCTCCAATCCGAGATCACGAATCTCAACGAGGATATCACCGCCAAGAAAACCCAGATCGCAGATAACGAAAAGCGCATCGACACACTGCTTCGCGAGGCGGGAACCAACGAAGCGCAGCTGGCGAGAATGAAGATGACTATTGCTGAGTTGCAAGAGGAGCAGGAAAGCCAGAAGAGATTGTTGGATGAGTACAAAAGTCGACTTGCACAAGCGGCAACGTCGTCGTCGTCGTCTTCGAGCTCCGATACAGCATCGGATACGTCATATGATGACTGTGGCGAGCCGTTGGCTAAAAGGCTGTCAGCTGATGGGAGCCAGAAGCTGGTGAGGGTGATTGATGATTTTATGGAGATGATTCCTATGCCCGTGGGGTCGGCGAGCGCGTTGAGTCAGGAGCAGTTGGACCGGTTGTTGGCGGAGGCCAGGAGGGCGTTGCAGGAGGGAGAAGGGGGAGGAGATGGGATGACGACGGATGCGGAGAGGATGGTTGTAAGGAGGACGATGAAGAGAGAGTTGGCGGAACAGAAGGAGAAGCAAGATAAGCTGGAAGGGATGATTGATGGGTTGGAAATGGAGTTTGATGGGAGCGTTACTTCTGAAGGGTCTGCCGCTGAGGCAGCGGCTGCGAGAAGAAATCACAAGGAGTTGACGGATCGCTTCAGGGAGTGGTTGGCTTGGAGCCGTGGGCGGACGAGGCTGCTGGAGAGGGAACTGGATCTCGATGAGACCCGGCAGAGGCGGGTGGTGGAGAAGCAGGTGACCACGACGTTGGTGAACTTGGAGGTTGGGAGGTTGCCAGAACGCAGAGGCGAGAAGTTGTGTTTCTGCGCTTTGTTGAAGTTTTTCGCGCCCAGTATCATGAGGAGAGTTACGAACCAGGGACCGGTATGTCAGGATTGCCAGAGGCCCGAGAAGGCGCAACAACTGCCGACGACAACGACATGTCAGCACGTCGTTCTATCATCGTTGTATCACGGTCACAACCACCAACACTTGCCCGAAGTTCAAACAGCACTCTGTTACATCATGACGGCGCTGCTCTGGTTCGCCATGCTGGTCTGCATCCAACCCTACCACTTTGTCACGGTGGGCGTCTCTGGCATGCTCGCCATCCTGCGGTTACCACAATTCCTGCTCGGCTGGGGGAAATACTACGGTCAAGTTGCCGTCAGACGATACCGTCACTGGCAAGAGTCAAAAACCAAGAAGAATACGCCAAGGCCGACATCGGATATCTACGCCGGCTTACAAAAGCCAGCCCTAGGCATCCCGTCCTGGCTAACAGCCTCATCGCTTGTCGGCTTCACCGTTGCCCTCCTCTGTGTGGGCATGACGCTGACATACTACGCCGTCTTACAGGAGAGGCGAGTGTGGATGAATGCCAACGACTGGAGAAGGCCGTACTTGCGCAGCTTGATTGGGAGAGAACCGTACCCGGGGTGGTCGCCTATGAAGATTGATCATAGGTTTTGGTTTGAGCCGCCGCTGGAGTTTCTGTTGGGATGGGTGAATGACTACGTGGTACACCCTCTTTTGCTTGGGAGTGATTATGGTGGTAGTACATGGAGGAATGGAACGGGGGTATACGATGCTCATGGGACGCCGTTGATGATTAGGAGAACACAATGAGTGGGGGATAGAAGATGTTTTGTTTCTCTGACGCTAAAGGGACATATATTGTTTTACGGTGTTATCTGTTGTCTTTCTTATATATCTTCCTTCCTTGTTTCTTTTGTCTTGTTGGATACCTGACTTACCTAGGAGTTAATGGAGTTGATGGATGCTTTGACTCACTGCCCTGGTGCTCCCACATGAACTCCCAAAGACCGACAAAGGAGTCCACGTGTAATCGTAGAAGCTAAGAACACTCTCGTCCCTCGGCATGCGACCTTGCGGAACGGAGATTGAGGTTTGAGACTTCCGCCCGGTGTTCCGATATGTCATGTCTCATGTTTGCAAACGAAGCGTTTCGAAGCAATAACGGCCCCCGGAGCCAATTCCGCCCGCTGTAAGTGCTCAGCTGCTTAGTAATTTAGGGGGCCTAGAACCAGCTGCCAGCCAGAAAAAAGTCCCCGGACCCCCCCGTTAGGCTCCTGAGGGCTCCATCCTCAACGGCCCCGCATACCCAAACCAGCGCTAGAGGGAAAAGGTACGAGGATACCTCTTACTGTGTGTCTTCATACGGCCCCCTCCGAGACGGGACGCCGGAGTGTTGCATGGCACCGGGTGCCGAACGCAACCATGATGTCACTGGCCTCATGTCCCTTTGGACGACCACTACCGTTACGACACCCTCACCATACAATCCCTCCCTTCAGTTCCGTCTTCCTTGAGATAAGATTCCGCACAAGTACTAATTTACGATGCCGAGGCTGCCTGGACGCGTCTGTGATCCGTTGCTGTTTTCCAAATGCTACGCAGCCTCCTTGGGAACCGGTGTAAGTGATTCAAGTTGCCGTTTTGGGTTTACGTGCCGACCAAGTTCAAAATTATCCTACAATATATGATAAGAAACCACTCTTCCCTTCCGAGGTTCTAATCAATAATTCCAAATATCCTATCACGTTCACATACCAATCTTCTGTCAGCCAGCTTATATACCTTGTCATCGTCTTCGTTCGATCTGATTATTGTTATAAACTACGTCAACTATAACATCACCCCACTGACACAAACCGCCTCTCCATTCATCCAGCATCCCACCACGAGCCGTCTTCTCTTCTTTAGCACCACCACACCTTCCAAATACCCCCCATTCTCTCCCCGCGGCACCTTCAAAACCCCTCCACCTTCAGGTAACAACAACAAAACGGCTTCAACCAAGCCCTTCATCGCAACCGTCCTCTTCTCCCTCGCCGCCGCCTCTGTAGGAGCCGTAGTCTACTTCCGCCCCGGGATAGGACGAGACAACATAGGAGCCAAAATGTCCAACAAACTGGTCCTAGCGAACCCGGACGACGTCATGGTGATCCGGGACGTCACTCCCAACGTCGTCACTTTTTCTGTGCCCTTTTTGCGGTTCGGAAAGATTCCTATTGGAGGGAGGGGGACTTTGGGTAAGGCGCATTCTAACTCTCTATTGCACACACACCCTTTTTTTTTTTTTTTTTTTTTTTTTTTTTTTCTCTCTTTTGCGTTCCACTAACACAGCATATCCACCATCGAAAATAGTCCGCCTCTCCAACAACACCCTAGCAGTCTTCTCCCCCGTAGCCCTCACGCCCTTGGCCCGCTCCCGCGTTTCCTCCCTCGGCTCCGGCCAAGTGAGCTACATCGTCGCCACCGATATCGAGCACCACATCTTCGTATCCGAATGGGCCCGGGCCTTTCCCGACGCCAAAATCATTGGTCCCGAGGGTCTTCCGGAAAAGCGGGCAAAGGTGACCAACGACGAACGCATCGGGCACGAACCCTTTTCCGTCGTTTTCACAAAGGAACACAAACAAAATATCAAGATCGACGAGGCCTTTGATGCCGACTTTGAGTATGAGTACGTCGACGCCCACCCCAACAAGGAGCTGGTGTTTTACTACAAGCCGGATAAAGTCCTGATTGAGGCCGATCTCATGTTCAACCTGCCTGCCATTGAGCAGTACTCCAAGGTTCCCGAGGCGGAAAAGCCGCACGGCAGTTTGCTGGGGAGGGTTTTCCAGGCGATGAATAGCACCGAGGGAGAGGCCAAGGGGATCAAGAGGTTTTTGTGGTACGCGATTAGTCGGGGGGATCGGGCAGGGTTCAATGAGAGTGTACGGAGGATTGATGGGTGGGATTTTGAGACGATTGTGCCGTGTCATGGAGAGACGATTGTGGGGAACGGGAAGGAGGTGTTTGAGAAGGTATTTGAGTGGCATTTGGAAGGCCATAACTGAGTCGGATAGGAGGTGTTGGAGTATACCCAGGGAGGTAGGTGATGGAGTTGTTAGGGGGGTTCTTTTGGTGTTTTTCCTAGGTATGTTTCTGGAATTGGATGGTATTGTATGATAGTTTAGGGCTGCTGTCTATGCCTTATGGGCTGTTAATGATATGGACGTAAATAATGGATATTCAGGGGTATCAATTAAGCAAACAAATCCAAATATACCCACAGGACAATTGAATCTTTGTTAAACCGCGTCGAAAAATTTAAGCCGTCTATAGCTCCTCCCTGACAACGCCAGCTACCGTCTCTGCAACAGCCAGCAGCCTAGCATCATCCCAATACTGCCCAATAAGCTGCAACCCAGCCATGCCCGCTCCCTCCTTATCCTCGACCCTCATCGGCACACTGATAGCCGGCAACCCCGCCAAGCTCGCCGGTACAGTAAACACATCATTCATGTAAGCGCTCACCGGATCCTTCTCCTCTTCACTCAGCACTTCATCCAGCCTAGGCGCAGTCGTTGGCGCCGTCGGGCACAGCAGGAAATCCACCTCCGTAGGCCCCCACTTATCCTCCAGCCCGACCGTCTCCGGCAACTCGCTGAGCTCAAATCTTTCCGGCTTGTCCAGAAGAGGGTTGGGCAGCGCAAAGACGCGGTTAAAGTCTCGCCTTACCAGCCGACGCACCTTCTGTGCTTTGAGAAAGTAATTATCCATGGCGGCAGAGGAGAGGGTGTAAGCGCCTAGGAGAATACGACGCTTAACTTCATCCCCAAAACCAGCGGTGCGGGCGCGGGCATAGAGGATCCCTTCTTCTTCTTCTTCTTGTCCTTCTGGGCCTTTCGAAACAGCGGCATCGCTCTCGGTCGGAGGCGTGAAGCGCGTGCCGTACCGGATGCCGTCATACTTGGCCAGGTTGGACGAAGCCTCGGCGGGCGCGATGACGTAGTACGCCGACAGGGCGTGGCGGGTCGAGGGCAGGGAGACGGGGACCAGGCGCGCGCCGAGGGATTGCAGTTTGGCGGCAGCGGCGGACCAGCTGTGCCGGATCGAAGGCGAGAGTTCCGTAATGTTGTATTCGAGCGGGAGACCGAACTTGAGGTTTTTGAGCGGGTACGGGTCCTTGGGAAGGGGACCGGTGTAGCAGTCCCGTTGGCTGGCGCACCGTCTGCGCGCCCCGTGGGAGAGGCTCGTGGGATCGAGCGGGTCGTGCTCGGCCCAGAGGCCCCTTGTTACCTTGTCGGCTCCTCCAAGAATCAGCTCGGCGATGGGCCTTACTTCCTTCGCCAGCAATCCCACCGTGTCGAGCGAGTTGGCATAGGGAACCACGCCATAGCGCGAGAGCATCCCGTACGAGGGCTTGAATCCCACCACGCCCGTGTACGCGGCAGGCAACCGTACTGAGCCGCCTGTGTCAGTACCAAGAGCCAGGTCCGCTTCGCCCGTGGCTACGGCTACGGCACTTCCGCCTGAGCTGCCACCCGCGGAGTGCTTGACTGCTTGTTGTTCGTGCTCCCCCTCCTGCGCGACTGGTCCAAAGGCCGTGTGTACCGAGTGGCTACCCATGCCGAACTCATCCAGGTTCGTCTTGCCGACCAAGAGAGCGCCGCGCGATCGCAGTTGGGTGACGATGGTGGCCTCGAAGGGACTGCGGTAGTTGGCAAGGAAGTTGGAGCCGCATGTCGTCGTTAGAGGCGTTTCCTCTTCGGAATTGGGGGAAACTGTGGCGATGTTGTCTTTGACGGCGAGACGGAACTGCCGCTGTTCGAGCGCGGGTTGGTCATGTTGCTGCACTACAAACCAGGAAGACTCTTGTCAGCGGGTATAAGTGCATTTCAAGTCCACACACAAAACGGTTCGGTACCTCTGGATATAAACTGGTTCAGGGAGCGTCGCTGGATGGGTGACGTTTGCCTTGTCGAGCTCACATGGCGCAGACATAGGCCCCGCAGCCGCCCAATTCTAGCTGACATGTGGTTTCTTGGTCACGACCCAGCTCTGTTCGGCGCTCAATTGGGTCGGTTGCGGTGTTGGATCACCATGTTTCTGTGCTTTCACCGTGGTCGGGAATCGGGAGAGATTCGGACGGAGCTTGGAGAGCTCAAGAGGGGGATTCCAGACAATACCTATGTCGCTGGGTAAAGCTGATAAGGGTTAGGGTTGGATATGCACGTTCTCTGAAGTCATAAGAGGACGAGCTGGTCATGAAGGGTTTCCCATTAAACTACGCTAGGTCAACTACTCCGGGGCATAGCTTCCTGCTTTAGTACATGGAGAGTGTGTCCCTGAGCAGTCAAGAGCTTGAGCCATAGCCATGAGTGGTTCCTTTTGAGTGGTGTTTGTGTTTCCAAGCGAACTTTCACATCTCTGGCCTACCGGGAACCTCGAGACCTGCCAGGAGATTTACAAGGGATGACATCTGAACTTCTGATCACATCTAGGTGTGTTTACTGTAATGAAGACTGAAGGTGTGAATATCTGAACTCCGGAGATGAATGCTAATACATCTTGGGAGCCGACATACAGGAATTTCATGGATAATAATGATGTCTGCTGCGGTAGTCAGGGAATTTGGTAAATGTTGTTGTTGAGGTGTTGCTGCCCTTTAGACCGAACCCCAGGAGAAACAAACATATCAAAGCAGTGACAGGCAAAAAAAATGAGGAAACACCAGTGAGTAGCCGATCAACGACGAAAGGATTGCAAAATCGGCCAGTAGTGTTTCCTAAATTCCCCACGTAGCAGACCAAAAGGACACCTTCAGGTTCCTTGATCATATTATGACCTCCGAATCGGTAGTCCCCCAACAAATGACCACAGCCAGGCGACACTTTCCCATCCCACTCTGCCGAGCCAAGCGGAAACAGTGCTGCGGACCCATAGGACTTCGTGAGGATGCAGACCGCACATGTTGGATAGGAGTTGGGTGACCGCAGGTGTCACAATCTTGTGGTTGTTCTCTCTCAATAGCCGTCGATCCGAAGAGAGACCATCGTTAATGCGCTGAGTCTGTTGCACGGGTGTGGGACATATTGTATGGGAGGTGGGAAGTGTGGATGCTGTGACGGTGGCCTTGGTGTCTTTGGGTTGCTGGAATGTCTGCCGTGGCTTTTTGCTAAGACGCCATGCACTGAAGATCTGTAATGCCACAAACACCGTGATGGCCAAGCAAGCGGTTGACCACCATTTCCTCAATCGCGGGTTTTGCTAAAGCAAGATGTTATTAGCAAGCGTACCAATATCGAGAAGTCACTCGTAGTCAGAGACTTACCTTGTACCATGCTGAGCATTTCTGCATGTGAATAGCAATTTTTCTTACAAAAGTTAGCGCATGGATTCCATAAGTACAAGTGATATTCAACTTACGCAGAGATTCTACTTACATTGTTGAGTCGTCGGGAGATCTCTCCGAGAGTGGTGCAGATGGCGTGGATCTCCGCCATCTTTCGAGGGAGAAGAAAACAAATGCCTGGGAGGATCGAGATACAAATGAAGAGAGAAGGGAGTAGAGGCCAAATGAGGTAGATGGGATCAATCCGTTTGAGGAGGTCTTTTGCGCTGCTGATGGGTTGGTTTAGCGGAGTGGCAGAGGAAAAGCCGCCAGGAGTGATCGCGGAACTCAAGAGTCTAGTTTTCACGAGGACCCCAACAAGACTGAGGAAACAAAACATGGTCCATGTGATAATGGTGACTCTGAATTAAGACATGGAAAGAGAAAGTTACGAAGACGGATGGTGTGGGCTTGTCTTGTACTTATAAGTTCTAAGGGCGGAGTTTTGGCATCACGACTTTCCTTCCAGATTGGGAGGTGCAGGATGCAGTACTGTTAAATAGATGTACCGTCCAGACTGAAACCAACATCCATAAATAAACAAATTTGCCCGTTGCTTCCGCCGTGGATGAGGCAGGCATTCTGGTGGCGACCGAGAGTTGAGGACATTCGCTGGTCCGTGAGTCCGAAGAAGCCATGCTGATGCATCAGGTGGAAGGGCGGTAGGTCGCCTTGCGACCTGGCTGATGATTCGCGAGCAGCGGTATGCCGAATCTGTAACTGAGTATGGGACACCGATAGGTATTGCTTCAGCCACGAATGATCATGTCGACGCCTGGAATGGCTGGTTATAGCCACAACTGTCGGCACCGTTCACATTTGACGGACCTTGAATGCACATGAGTTCTTGAAATGCTCCTGAGGAGCCCTGCTTGAAAAAAAAAGGGGTTTACACCTTTTTCTCAACTCTCGCTGATCAAGCAGGGGGTCAACTCTTGCCTGGGGAACATACGAGTGTCGGGCATTACATCCCTACCTCTATGTGAAGAGCTTTGCTGGCGAGTCCGCTGGCGTTACTCTGGTCCGTCGATATCCATTCTTTCCCCGCCATTGCGGTCTTCCGGTGTTCTTGACCTCGATCTCGTCCTTGACCTTCTCCTCGTCACCGGCGATCGGGACCGCGAATAAGATGTCGACCTCGACCTGGACCTAAGCGTACGCGATCTTGACCGTGACCTTGATCTGACCTCTCCCTCGCTTTCGCTGCCGTTATTATTCTGCTCTTCCTCTGCCTTGCGCATTGCCTCATCCTCCTCTTCTAAGAGATCTTCTATGTTCCCCAAGGGACTGACCCGTGGTTCAAGTATGTCCAGATCTTCCAGGATGTCTCGCTTCCGCATCTTCCACAGACTCGTCGCGCAAACGCGATCTTTGGTCAATAGGTCATCAACAAAGACATCCATATACGTCAGACTAGTGCCGTTTCTACCCTTCCTCCTCAATTTCCGCCTGTCCTCTAGAAACGGCTCCAACGTCTTGTACACATCCTGGTCCTTCCTCGTGAGACGGATATAAAACAGCGCCAGCGCGCGTAGATATTTGAACTTTTCGCCGCCAAATTGTAGATACTCGTTGAGGATGTCGTCTGAGGGCGCGAGCTGCAGCAGCTTGAAGGCGAGGCAGAGGAAGGGCGAGGGCTTCTGGACGGTGCCATAGACGCCGCCAATGAAGTCAACGTGCTCGACAACACGATCCACAATGTCTGCTTCGTTGACACCGAAACACTGCTCCTTGTAGAAGTAACTGTCGATGATGCGTTCGCGAACCGCCTTCTCCATTATGGTGGCCGGGTTGAGGCCGTTGGGAGCGAGCGGGCCTGAGGAGCCACGCTCGTCGAGGAAGCGTCGCTCATCGGCACGGTGAAATTCGGATTTGCTCATGTTCTTGTCGTGTGTAGGTCAAAGTACGCGCAGGGCGTAGAGTATTCGGTGATTGTAGTTTCACAATATTGATGTTGCGCACAGTTGGGGGGTTTGGTTTCCTACGGACAGGAAGAGAACCAAAAAAAGGTTGTTGCCGGTGGAATTCGAGGTCGAAGTTCAGTGATTGACAACGCCAAGTCTCACAAGTAACGCGACGGGAGTGTTGGCGGCAGGCAATTCACTGCGCCAAGCCGCCAATCGTCATACTTGTACTGGTTATCGATAAGCGATAAACGCCCAGGGTCCCAAGTGCCCCTCGTACCTCTACTTGTACTGTAACTGGCGGTGTTGAGCTGTTGTGCCAGTGACACAGTTGAGATCTTCCAATGAAGCGACAAGCGACAGCGTCAAGCGCGATGTGCGGCACGTGAAAGGAGGGGCTGGGAGAGACGGGGGAGAAGACATGAGGATGGAGACGGGAATGTCACGGTGGAAATACACGTTGTTAATGCACAAGAACACCAGGACTCCAGGTAACCTGCATGTGTAGTACGTACCTCACGCTCATTCAATGTTTTCTTTTTTTTTTCGGTGGTGATAATTCCACGTTTTGTTTACAATCGCACATCGGCTTCAGTTCGAAGTGCATCTGAAAGCCTCACTCAAGCCTCAGCAAACTCTCCATGCGCTGTGTGCATACTCCTCGCAGCAGCCAACAAACAGTACCTTGGATAAAACACTATGCTACTCACTTCGGCCCAAGTATCAATCGCTTTCTCATCGGGCATCGGTATGCATCTCCCACTAACGGACCTCCTTGTCCAAACAGTACGTTCATCCGACTGACGTGGTCACTTTATCTGGCAACAGTATTTATCTTCACTGCAGCCCTCTTTCTAAGCGGGTATGCAATCCAGCAGCGGACACTGCGGGACCTCCGCGCGGCCATCAAGCCAACTCCAAGGCCATCCCCAAGAACATATTTGCCCGATCAGTTTAAAAAGATGACCACCGAATTACCTGATGGCACCATTGTCCCGGTACAAGACGATGGGGTTGTGATAGAGATCAAACCCACTCCGCCCAGTGAGGTTCACCAAACATCGGAAACAGAAGACGAGAACCGACAGAAGCCAATACCGGCACCACAGCCAGCGCAAGAGTCAGCGACAGAGAAGACGGAAATAAAAAAGACATCATCAGCAAGGGCCAAAAAGTACAGAGAACAACAGCAACTGAAGAAGCAGCAGCAGCAGCACATGCAGCAAGAGGGCTTGGTTGTTCAGCAAGGACAGCAACAACAAGAACAAGATTTCAGCAAGACACCAAACCAGGCAGAACAACAAGAGACAAGCGGAAGCACCCCGATCGAAATCCCCGAAGGAATGCTCGAACACCCCGATCCGGACAAGCGCGCCGAGAAAGCAGTCAGCCCGGCAGAAAGGCGAAGGCTGATCAAAGAAGAGATCAAGAGGCTGGCGCAGCCTGAGGAGAGAGGGTATTATCAACGACGACTGTGGTGAGACAGTAATGCATGGGGCCACTCCAATGGTGACAGAATACCACCTGATCCATGTACAACCTCCAGCTGGTCTTGAGGATGGATTGCCGTGGATATAAATGGGACGTTTCTGGTACGTGTACATCCTGTCAATGAGTGTCTTGTTTCCTCGACATATTGTCGCTACGAAGTCTTTACGAATGAAATGACCATGTATTCTTTGACTTTCTAGTGCATTCCTGATATCTAAACAAAGGACCCCCCCCCCCCCAAAAAAAAAAAGCGATTACTTTTTCGATCAAAACGCCCCCCCTTGTACCAAACGCCTTCCCTAGCTGCTCAAATTGGAAGGATGGAGAGATAGTTGAGCCCTGCATCGAGGAAAGCACCCCTTTCGCTGCCCGACCTTCCTTCAGTCAAGTTCAAGCTGGTTTGTTTTACCCAGTTCCGAATCCTCATCAATGCATCCGCTGCATCTCCTCATCTTTCTTTCAGTGTCGTGTTCCCAATTATTGCGGCCTTGTAAACCTGTTCCCCGCTTGCCCGTTCCTTCCTCTTTCTCGAGAGTCATTCCGCAGACGTCTATGTTTCTCGGATCGTACCAAGCACTCCAACCAATCACTGCCTTCTGTCTAACAACGACTGCTGCGAAGACCTCGCTGAACTTTGAGAGCTACTCCTAGAACTAGCCGTGTTCTTAGCCAGTCGCGTCGAAGAGGATCCTATCCAGAGGTCCATATGCTCGGGTAGGAGACCACGGCTGAGTGAAGCACCGCTCTTTTGCAACTACGAGGTGGAAGGCATTAAGTCAGCTCGCCATTCTTTGTCCACCAAGGCTTCCTCATCACATGGAGCTACCTACCATGCACATCTTGCATCGGTCACCGAACCTCATTACCACATTGTTGCAACGGATCGAACCCTGCAAAAGGTCAGGTCAACACCTGGACGCCGTGGTTGAGTAGGGGGTGGACTAACGTAATAGTTTGCGCAATAACATCCGTCCATCTCGTCTGTTGGCAAATGTTCAGATATTGGAGGGTCTATCAGGTGGAAAGCAGTCGAGAGGTCTGGACGGGGTCGCTGTTTTAGATGCAAAGCGAATAACTGATAACAGAGGAAGATTGACTGAATAGGAAAGACGATGCTGTCTGATGGTGTCAAGTGGAATGTCTATGATGTGGTTGATGAAGAGCAATACAGGGAAAAAGCGGCAATCAAGATGTCTATAAGCCGAAGCTTGACCAGATCAAGAAGCAAGATGTTGGGAGCTAGGAAAAAGGGGACCAAGCAGACTATTATACAAACCTCAGGAAGGCGAAGAGGAGGAGGAAGGAGGTCAATTGACAAGGTCATGGTCATGGCAACGCCAACAGGGCAAGGGCCAACAACTGGTACCAGCAGAGATCCAGCAGCGCTTCCTGTCGTTCGCGTACAGGATTATGAAAATACACTGTTAGATGATTGCGTGGTAACATCATACTCAGCAGTATGTTATAATGCCGACTTGCATGTAATGCACCCAAGTTTCAAAGACAGAGAGCTCTTTCTCAAAGTTACGTACCGCGCATCCCAACATCGCCTCACAACGTACATGTGCTTGATAACAAGCATCGGAGATAGCATTAGCAAATGGCGTTTCATCCTTCGAAAATCGAGCGGCCCTCCAGGAGTTCTAGAACACACACTGGCGCCCAATACGCCAGCCCACCGCAACCAAAATTATTAGAGACAAAGGAATGCACCTAGAAAACAAAGGGACGGAGGAGAGGGGTAAGGCGCGGGACAACCAGGATGGACAAAGTAGCAACAGCTGCTCTTTCCGCAGAGCATATGTCAAAAACTGCGTGAAGTCGATAGAGCAAACGGTAAGCAGGCCTCGGATGTCTCCTGGGCAGATGCCATGTCCCATCAGCATAATTTGAAACCCTCGCTGCTTCGCGTTTTCTTCTCGCTTTCTCCCATTTCCATTTCAACCCGTCATCCCTGACGCAACCGCATCGCCACTGTCTCCTCGTAATCGTTCTCCAACTTGGACCGACGGTCACCGATAGAGACACGCCGCTTTTCCTTTCATCGTCGTCATCGGCCCCGGCAATGACAAGGGGTATGGAGTCTGCGGCAATGCTACCCGAAACGATCGCTCAACCCAAAATAACAACACAACCAACGATGTGCACCATTTGTTTCCAAAAAGACCGAGTCAGCCATAGGGCAGTACCGCATGCGATCTGTCCTACGATAAAAAGCCCAAATCGCCCTTCTCCCGGTCAAACGGGAATGGTTCCTCCCGTTATTATCCACATACGATGGGAGAAAACATCATCCAGCCATTCAAGCAGCAGTTGCAACTCCAACGTTGTGTCTCCTCAACCACACAACAACTCTCAATGTTCGCATCCTCAGCACCCATCGACGTCTCAACCCCATACGATCAAGGGCCCTGTCGTGATCCCTGACGGAACTCCGTGCAAGTCCATTTTAAGTCGATGACAACCACTGCCATTCAGATCATCACCCACAACAATACAAAGATCCCCGTATCGTCCACCACATGCACGTGTCGACTTCCCAGACTACCACTCGTCCATTGCTCTCAGAGTATCACAGCATCCTCCACACATCCCCCCGCCTCATAGTCATCCAGTCTTCCAGTCCTCCAGCTCCTCCATACTCCTCATACCCCAATTATCCACGATCCTCCATAATATCATCCATCATCCTCCACACAACGGGACATGGAACCCAACTTCTGACCTTCAGTCCCATTTGCTTCTTAAAACTGCACTGCTACCGTTACACTTGCATGTATAGCCATGGCGCTTCGAAGCTACCTTACCCGTATGCATGTCAATTTGGTATTTTGAGATGTGATGGGATAGCCCAAGCCCCAAATCTGCCCCATCTTCCTCCAATTCTGTTCGTGAGTGGTTAATGATTCAGTCCCCGAGTCCTAACCAGATGGTCCGAACGGGAGTGGATACAGTTAATACTGTTGGTATGTGATGTAAACAGCGGTTAGACGTAAAGGAAGCAAACTAAGGCCAACAACAGTTGATAGGAGACAAAAAGTGAAGCCTATTTCACTCATCCACCATCCCGCCGCCCACTTGTTACTCTAGACACTCTTGGTTAACCTCGACAAGTTGAATCTATACATAGCATTCCCTTTTTGCATCGGGGGGAACTTGTGCTAAATCGCCACTATCTTACGATCTTTCGTGTGTTATTTAGGTAAACTATTGATCTATCACTTAACTTCTAAACTGCCTCTCGACCTGTCTAGTATAGTGTACGCTGGCGACTGAATTGATACCTACCTCTCTATATTAGTTTTCGCCCCTCTCTCCCTCCCTCCCTCCCTCCCTCCTCTTCCCTCGGCAAGCCCCCACCACCTTTTTTCGTAGCAACACAGCGTAGCTTTCAGGGTCTTGCAGCAGCAGCAGCAGCAGCAGGCATTAACTACAACAACAACGAATAGGCCCCGTCCGTCTCTATGAAACCCTACGAGAATAACATTGCAAAATCGTACAGATAAATCCCTCCCTGTATTGCACAGCCCGCTTCTTTGAATCTGTCTGGCCTGATCCGGACCGGACCGGACCGGTGAAAGATGGGAAGCGTCCGTCCGTCTAGATGCCTCCTCCGCGGTACGAACGATTACGGAACGGGAACCATCGGGACTGACTGACTGACTGACTGATGGAACTGACTGAATCGTGGGTTGGTCTATAAAGACCCACCGACTTGACGTAGAACCGGCAGAACGGCAAGCCCGGACCCCCGGGCTCACCGACCCGGAGATAACGGGAACGGGAACTACGGACTGGGTGGTCCCCTTTGATCGATCACGGTCTGGGCCTTTGATGATGGACTATTATGTACATAATAAATACTTCCAGAGATCACTGCCACGGTGATAAGACATGCATGAGAGACGGAACTTATCGAGGTCTAGTATAGGCGTCTTATCACCTTAGAAGGTACACTAGACGTAGAAAGTCGTTCACGTGTGTACTTGAATGAGTCCAAGGAACTGTATCCCTCATCTTACTTGAACATTGTCCTCGTCATATAGATTCGTCATATCAAGATACATGGCAACAAGCACCACAGAAGCATCGTGGCCGGGACTCTAAAGACCAAGACTATTCTGCTTCTTCCTCTATTGATACTAATCGTACATCCCAACTTCAACCGCATGTCTCCTGAGGGTAGCCCATATGTATACATGTATCGGTTGTTCGTACACGTTCTGTCAGCGAAAGCGTTACGCACCCTCGTCCAAGACAGCAACTCAGAAAAAAATGGGGATATGAACGACAACGAATAAAAGAATCAATGAAAGCAAAGAAAAAAAAACAGATGACAATGACACGGGAGGGCCCTCAGATTAGCTCTCTTAAGTTCTCACTGACAACACGAGCCAAATCTCCTTTCAGTGATAGAAAGGTTGTTTGTAGACCTATAGCTCTGCTGCCTGCAAATTTGGCTTTTTGGAATTCGGTCATCACCGGGCTCCGTGTTCATTGTTTGGGAAGAGAAAAAGGGGAAAGGTATAAGGCTCTCTCTCTCCATCTCGTTCCAAGGCCCCCAGGCAGAGTGTAAAGTCTACCTGCAAACCCCCTCCGATTGAAAACTACAGTTTTATCCGTCATCGGTGCTGCTCTAGACGCAAAAAGAGGCGCCCTGTCTTCCCTACAAGCCTTCCGTCGTTGAAAACAGAAAGCGAGAGAAGCAAGCACGATCCTCTGCATCGGCGCACCTCTGGCCGTTGGTTTATCGTCATTGCGGGCTGCAGACAGATAACTGAGGGATGAAAACAGTGACAGGGAAATATGGAAGTAGGGAGAGGGAGTGATAAAAGCCAGGAGGACAGTCCGCCCATGACCATGGTGTAGTAGGGTAACGTACCTCGCGCGAAGGGGAATACTCGTGCAGCAAGCACATGAAAACCCTTCTGCCTCACGCTTATAATTGGACACGAACCCTTGCTGGTGAAGTCGAGAGTTTCGGTGAGAGTAACTTTCCCAGCCAGGCATCGTGGCGGCAATGGTAGTGCTTGGTGCGCGGTGCGCGTCCCAGCTACTCCAAGTTGTGGAAAGGACGGCCACACTAACACTTGTTCTTCATCCAGACGCCTGCAAAGATGATCCTGTCGCTCTGGACCAAGGCCGACTGATAACCTCGACAGCTAGCAGAGCGTATCTCGCATGATGCCCGTCTTGGAAAACCAAAACGGGACATCCAGCCTTGCGGCAACCAAGCCCCGATCCTTCCATAGGGTAAGGGGTTCGTAACTTCTGGTTAAGAACCACTCCATGGGTAGGATTCGGCGATTTATAAGGCTGGCTGTGAGACGTTCATGCTGGGTAGACGGTTGAGGCTACAGCCGGACCGGGTCCAGAGCAGAGGACCAGGTGTACACATGTCCGGATGGGGGGTGGTTGTGACCTGATGAGGAAGGGAGGAGAGGAAATGTTAAAGTATGGTGGAAGTAGTGCAGAAAGTTGTGGGGTACGAGTTGTCGAAGAGGTCTGCTCAGATATCCGTTCTTGTTGGGCTTTCATCTTCTGCCAGATGGTTCGTCGACTCCTCGAAGAGGGAAGATGCCCCTATCGGTAGAATCAAGACACCCTGAATTGTGATGGTCTTCTTCACTGCAGGGCCCCATGAGGAGATGAAAGAAGTGGCAATTGAACTAGAAAGTGGTAAGTGAGTTCGTGATAGGTAGCTGAAGGTGTGACTTGAGGAGGGGTGGTTGTGATTCGAAGAGGGTTCGTTGCCAGGCGCTGATAGATTGAGGTTGCAGAAATGAAGGGTCGAAAGCATTGACGAAGGAATGGGAATATAGGAAAGGATGGTGATTAGAATGTTGGCTCGCTCCATAGGTAGACCTCGGTTCGCATGCTTATTCAAAAGAGCGATGTGCATCCTCGCGCATCGCCGCCACGCCAGACGTGGGAGGAGTTGCTCAGCTGGAAGCCAAACCAAACCGAGCCTCTCAAGTTTGCAGTGACTTCCAAAGTCGCGCGATACTGCGGCAACGGAGTAGAATCCCACGTTCTAAGGGTGGCTGTAAATTTTCGTGGTTCGAATGGGAGAAGTTTGAGGTGTAGAGGTAATCAATCTGGTGACTGTTGGATGCAGGTCGAGATTCAGGACGGACGCGTTCGAATTGCGGCGCCCGTTAATCATCTGCAGTGGAGCTCGGGCCACAATCACAGAAACGCCACACCACCAAACAAACGAGGCATCACAGCCTTGCAGCCTTCTGTTTTGTACACTACCAGTACATCATCTTCGAATTTCCGGCAATACGTAAAATCCACGGCTGGCCACAGTTCAGTTAGACCTCCCACTGCGCCTTCAATCTCCAGCCGATCCTACTTGCCTCGTCTCAGGAGCAAGCTTAGGTTATCAATCACAATACCTTTCGACGCCTAATTTCCCCCGCGCAACCCATAACCACCATCCAAAATGGTATGTTCCTGATTAATCCCACTGTTCGACTCTTCCATCTGTACAATCCGTGTACTAAACAATGTCCCAACCCAGGCACGCAACTCCGAAAAAGCCCAGTCGATGCTCTTCCGCTTTCGCGAAGCGCAAGCCGCCGACCTGGGCATCATCGACGCCGGGCGCACGCGCCGCCCGCGCTCCATCACCGAGCAAGACAGCATCCCCGCATGCGAAAAGTGGCGAGGCCAAGTCCTCAAGGAAATCTCCCGCAAGGTGTCTCGCATCCAAGACCCAGCCCTATCCGACTACCAGATCCGCGACCTCAACGATGAGATCAACAAGCTCATGAGAGAAAAACACATGTGGGAGGTGCAGATCCGCAACCTGGGCGGACCGAACTACATGCGTTCGGGAGGGAAGGTGTACGACGAAGCCGGGCGGGAGATACCTGGTGGAGGGAGGGGGTACAAGTACTTTGGCAGGGCGAGGGAGTTACCCGGTGTGAAGGAGCTGTTTGAGGCGGCGGCGAGGGCGAAGCAGGATGATGAGAAGCCGTTGGAGACGAGGGATGATCTGAGGAAACAGGTGGATGCGGCGTATTACGGGTATGCGCCAGACGAAGAGGACGAGAAGCTGTTGGCGTATGAGGCGGCAAGGGAGAGGCAGGCGTTTGAGAACCTGGCGAAGGCGGCGGCGGGATTGGAGCCGCCTCCTGGATGGGAACCGTTGCCGGAGTGGGAGCTTCCTACGATGGAGGAGGTTGCGCAGGAGCTTATTGACAGGAGGAGGAGGAGGCTGTTGGATCAGTTGTAGCCTGGCTATGACTGAAACGACTTGCAATTGGGTGTGAGAAAAGGAGAAGGGGGCACATGTCGGTTGCACGGGTATGGTGATGGTTCGTTTTGTAGCATTTACACGGATACGGCGCGGCGTTCAAGGCGCAAAGTAATGGGATACATGATACTTTGGCGGGTTCAACAACCAGGTTCAGCTCAAGTGCTGGGTTTATATTCGTTTTGCGCACAGTACTCGCTATGTTACCATTGTTATTTACATTCTGAAATCATTATCCCGTTCATAATTCATATTCGATCCCACAATCCAACCTAGTCATCAAGAAATAGACGCCGCCAATGTGACATATCCCGTACCGCATGACCGAGCCCCGTCTCAGGTCGCCGTGCCTTCAGTTTCCCATGCCAGTGAGATTATGAACAATATGGCTGCTGTGCCTAACAGTTAGCAGGCCAGTTCTCCTTAATCCAGCCCGCCATCAATTCCGTAAAGGTTCCATTGACATATCTCTTGGCATCATCATTAGTGTAATCGCCTCCGGAGATCTTCAGCGCACCCATGACCCATGGCTGAATGAAATCAAAGAAAACGAGATCAACCCTTTCAGGCTTCTCGCCCTCCTCCTTGGGCGAGAACCCAACTTCGGCCTGGATGCAGTTAGGCACGACATAGAAGTTAATGGCAGAGTGGATAGCATCATCGCCATCGTCACCAATATCATCCTTTGTCGTATAGCCTTCGATCAAAACGGGCTCCTTCTTAGAGCCGCCATCACCTGACAGGGGCTTTTGCCCGTCCACAATACCCTCACTCGCGAACGAAGGCATTGGCTTCTCATGAATAATGTCCTGTGTGATGGCGAATTGCTCCGGGATGGCCATAAATCGAGCATCCATAGGAGCATGCTCCTCCATGATCCGCCCGGCGTTGTTGAGTAAGCCGATAACTTTACTGGCAACCTCGTAAGGGATGTCGGGGATGTAGTTGAGGACGCTGAGGAAGGGCGAGATGATATACGTTGTATCTCTGGTAAATTTGCCCTTGAAGACATCGAACCGGATGGCACCGGTGTTCATGATAACCAGGCGAGGGACATCTTTCCTGTCGTCGTTGATGGCGATCTCTGGAAGAACCTCCTTCTCGAGCCACGTGTAGATGCTGTCCTCGGAGGGATAGGGCGCCCTCGTCATCCACAGGTTCTTTGGTGCACAGCCGAACGTGTAGTCCAGATCGAGATCCTTGCGGGCCTGGGCGATCATTTGTGACACATTTCGGCCGTGGTCTGTAGGAAATGTGGACTTGTTCAACCCGGTGTGATAGTAGAGACCCAGTAGGTTGTTGTCAATGTACCTACGGTGGAACGAGAATTCCGCAGCCTCAGTCGAAGACGGCTCATCGTCATTGACAGCAGCAACGACGACGTCCTTGGTTGCCCTCTTCAGATCACCGTCCACCGACATCCAGCCGATCGTTTCAAAGTAACGGCCGCTGGCGATAGCGAACGATCTGGAGTCATACGCCGTCGCGTCACGCACGTGCACATGGCCGCCGAAGAACAGGATGGGCGTGAATGGATTCTGCTTACGAATGGCTGTGAAGATCTCCTTGAACTCGGGCATCTTCACGCCGACGTGACCAATCACCACAAACACATCAGGATTCTCCCGGATGGCGTCCTGGAACCACTGCTCCTTGATGGTCTCCCTCACGGGCTGTACCACTGTGTTATTGGCATTTCCGGTAAAGTCGAAAAGAAAACCCATGGCGACAATAGTCAGCTTCTGGTTCTTGGTCTGGAACTTGCGGTACCACTGCGCCATGGGGATCTGCAGTCCCGTCTTAGGGTCGATGTAGTCCAGATTGGACGCAACGTACTTGTCCTGGAAGTTCGGGACGGTCCGCAGGTGTTCTCCATCGGCAGTCGAGGCATGGTACAGCTCGTGGTTCCCCGTGCATATGATGTCGACGTCCTGCTCGCGGTATATGTCATAGTAGTATTTCCCCTTGGGATTCGAGGCATCGTAAAGTCCATTTCCTTCGACGCGATCGCCGGTGTCGACAAGGAGCAGATCAACGCCCTGTCCGTCTGCTTCTTTTCGAAGATGTTCGGCAAAGGATATGTAATCACCCCAGTCAGCCGAATACTGTGCTTCTTGTAGATGTCCGCCATGCCAGCCGTGGGTGTCTGTCGTGTGGAGGAAGTTGAGCTTGCCCCAGACGAGGTCTCGCATAGGCGCGGCGATGGGAGATGCAGCTCCGGGCTGCGCTGCCCGTGCCAGTGTCGCAATGGCACTGGCGACAAGGATTGAGGCTTTGACAGCCATCACGAAGGCGTACCGATGTGTAACACTATACGTAACAAATATGGCTTCTGATGTAATGTCATATACTATGCAACTGCAATGTCGGTGTCGGTTCGTCTGTAGTCTGCTGTTTGTCATAGCGCCGACGGGCGTTGAGTTGGCCCATCAGGGTACCCGCCGGCCTCGGCAGGCAACGCTTATCGATATGCCTGCCACGGGCTCTGAGAGTTCACTTCCCTTGTCAGTGTCGCTTGAGGGCGTGACCGGAGCTCGCGTATTATGTACCTCGACGCACAGGCACGTGAAACTTCCCAATCACCGTCCGATTTGGTAGGTGAGCACATGGTCTGAATAACACCGACCAACACTCAACCATGATGGTGCAATCAGATAAAAACTGAAGGAAATGTGGACGAGAGACTTATGATAGTACTGTGGGCTTCCAGGTTGGGGTGCCTGCTGACCAAAGATTAGATACCAACGTTGCCTTGGCACCGTGCTTCGTGTATCAAATTCCGAAATTTCGATGGCATTGGATTGCCTTTGTTCCCACGGCGAGTATAGTCCGACTGTTGGTCAGCCGCCGGAAATTCAGTGACCAAGCAGAACTCCATACAGGTGGTGGATTCTGTAGTGAGTTTCACATACTCCGAGCTACTGTGTATGTACCCAACCTCAGCCTGCCTCAGCCAACCTCTCCAGCTCCGCTTGACCGAGTCCTGATTCTTACCGCTGAGATGTTTTGGATTTGGTGTGGACCTTGCTGGGTCCTTGGCTTCGATGCGAGAAGAAGCAAAGAATGTGTGTCCGGCTGTTATTAACTCCCGCGTCTTTCGTACCTAGTGTACACCTCGCACGCCACAGGGTCGAGGAGGGTCTTTTCTTGGCTACCGTGGACGATCAACTGCAGGTACAAGACCTAAGTGGCCGGCCCGGAAACCCGGCCCATGTGCCGTTTTCCGATAACAAGCTGAAGAACGCGCCTTTTCCAGTTTGCAACAAGAATCGTTACACTACCAATATGTATGTGTATGTCATGGAGACGGCTGCAACAGCGGCTCCTCCAGGGCCGTACATCGTCCATGACGCACTCAGCCCCGGCTCCAAATTTGACGACGGCATCCCCATACAATGATGAAGTTGAGGAGCTTCGGTGGCATTCCAAGGTGGATGCTATATCCGTATCCAACCTCGTGGATACGGGGTTCCGGGGTCAATCGGCCGGCACACTCGGGGTTGCCAATTGCCGTTGTGCAACTTATACAATGGAAGGATACCTACAATGGCTACCTATCCATACATATCCGCTTCTTATCTCCATGTTTCGAAACAACTTCCAACTTATCGAGCTCGAACTCGGGCCCAAGACATGCATCCCCAGACAAGCACAAAGCGACACAAATATGAAGTCAAGTGAGTGTCGACCACGCATCATGTGTTTGCGGTTGTGTCTGCAGCCCAGCCGTCAGGTACGTGGCCCGGTACCTTGATGCTGTGCATTTTCCCCTCGTTCAACGCAGTCTTTCTGCTCTTTGGCGGACCGAGGTCAGGTCTCTTTCTTGTAGGAAGCAATCCATGCAGTTGCGGCGCCAAGCTTCCAACCAAAACCCCGCAGCCCCCTCCATTTTCCATATCGAAAGCCACAAACCTACCCAAACACTCCATGGCGTTGAGTCTCGTTCTTCTGAAGCCCATGCTCCACCACCATCATTATTATTACCATCACCACCACGCAGCCAGGGTTCACACCTTTCCATTTGTTGGCGTATGTACCCGGCAGCGAGGTGCGCTAGAGCTGCCTTGCCTGCTTGTTCCTTCTTTTTGCCTGTCCAGGCTGCCGATGAAGTGCTGCGTGAGTGTGTGCCCTGCGTGTCTCTCCCCTGGTCAGATTATCGTTTTCTTTCTCTCTTCCCGTTTCCAGAACATGGTCCGAACCTAGCCCCGACGGTAAGCCTCGCTGGCCGCGTTGCCTCTTCCTCTGATTGGGTTCTCCTACAACGTTTCTCACGTGTCACCACAATCAACTTCTTGGCCCCTGATTAAACCCCGTTCTGGTTACTTTCCCCTTGGGACGTGTACATACCTATTATGTATTGGACACTGGGCCACTGTACGGAGCTGCTACAACACTGCCTCGCAGCCGCGAAGGTAGGGGTCGATGGGACTGGGCCTTTGCTGGGCTGGGGTAGGCAAGGTAGGTAGCTCCAGCAGCTGCACAGGTCTACAGACCAGGGTTCGAGCTTGGACGGGAGTTGGTGCTGTCGAGCGACCCGGGCGAACGAGTTTGTTACCTCCCAAAACCTCCCCGCGTCTTGGTCTCGCAGAAGCTTTAAAAAGGTTATCTGTTGCTCTTCTGCCCTCTTCGAGTCTTCTTTCATCTCAATGTTTCATTGTTTCCTCTCCCCCGTTCTCTGCGTCAAAGGCTTCGTTTCCCCGCTTTGAACAACGTTGGAATTGCTACAGGAGATCAGGTAATTGTGTCGTCTAGCACGTTGGAGTAACAAGTCTGTGCTGGTTGCCGTTCACCTACACTGCACTGCTTCACCGTCACCGCGCTCAGCTGGCCTTCCTTTTCCCCCCGTCCGCTGGCAGCAACTCCCCAACCTTCTTTCCGTTCTGCATTCTTCCTCCCTCTCTGTCTTAGTTACTTGTAGCTTGGGGTCGACAAGAGGATCGTAGGAAATAGCAATCATGGTTACCACTGCTACTCAGGCGCCGTCTCGCCGCTTCCCATCTATGATCGAGATGGCCTCTCAAGCACCGTCTCGCCGTTTCCCTTCTATGATCGAGATGGCCGAGACCGCCTCAATTCGCTCCGTTGCACCTTCTTACAGTAAGTTCACCAAACCAGATTCACTATTTCGTTCAATAAACACATGCACTGATAGTTGAATACTTACAATCTAGTCTCCGAGGTGCCTTCCTACCATTCGGATCGGTACTCGTATGCCGATCCATACAACCTTCCGGCGGAGCCTGCACCGCCTTACTCACCGCCAGCTGCAGGATGGGATATGGCTGGCCGGCTCGGGGTCCTCTCCTCTCTAGTTCCCGCAACACTTCCCGATCCGCCGGAAGAGCCCCGCCGCGAACGTAGTCGCACCCGTACCCGTGCCGGGGCTGCCACCGAGACTTCGTCCGGCAGTACTTCTCGGGGTACCTCAAGAACCGCCAGTAGAACTAGCGGTAGCAGAACTACTTCCGAAACCACTACTGCAACTACCACCAGCACAACACGACACCGAAACCGCCTCGGTACCAATTCGGCCGCCAATGACAGTTCGAGCACCATTGCCAGGCTCGGAAACAACCAGAATCGGAGCACCACCAACATGAGGACTAGCGCGGCCGCCAGCTCCACCTCCCTCCCCACCACCACCACCAACGCCGGTTCCCGTCCCGTCGCCGGCACCCGGACCCGGGCCCAGACCACCCCAGACACCCCCTCCCGATCCACCAACTCCAGCTCTCCTCCTCCTCCCAGGGTCGGTCTTCCCCCGGTACCCTCCGGCCCGCCGTCGCGGACCGACTTCCCGGTGCTTGGCGACTTCCGCATCCCTTCCCTCTCATCCATGTCCTCCAACCCCAACCTCCGCCAATACCAAAACGTCGCGCAAAGGCGCGCAGCAGCCAACGCCTCCACCACGAACTTGGACGGTCTCAGACGGGCTCTCGATCGCATCGAAGAGGAGCGTAATAACCCCAACCCGAGCAACAACGCGGCCCGCCCGCGACCGCTCGAGGATCCGTACCTGGTAGGCGAGGAAGCGGCGGCCAAAGCGCGGCGGGAGAGGCTGGCGAGGGAGAATGGCGATATCTTGATTCAGGAGAACCATCGGTGGGATCTGTTTCTGAGTACGTTTGTCTATTCCTTTCCTTTTTTTTCAAAAAAAGTTTCCTTTTCTTTTTCCCCAGTCAGCAGACTTGATTTTATTAACCCTCTGGAAAAACAGACCTCACGAGAGAACAAGAAGAGCGCCAACCGGGCTGGCGCCGGTTCCGCAAGAACATGGAAACGCGCACCAGCAAGCTGCCTTTCCGGCTCGGCATGCGGGCGCGATAGCGTCGGGCTGGCTGTATGCCGCTTGTGTCGCGGCGAGAAGAAGCAGCAGCAGCAGCAGCAGCAGCAGCAACTTCAGAGACAGCAAGGCTGAAGAGTGTTCATCAATCAGCCATCATGATGAGACGAGTTTCGTGCTTTCCGCTTTTTTTTCTTTTATCGATTTCCATTTCCTTTTCCTTCAGTTTTCCCCTGTCGTCTTATTCTTCCTCACCTCGCTGGACGACACGACGCATCATCCAACGGCGTTTTGCAATGGGTTCTCTTTGCTTTTGACTTTTCCTTTTCTTCTTTCATTTCAAATTTCTTGCCCTTTCTGTTTCTTCTTTTTTTTTCTCTCTTCCTTCTTCTGTCCAATTAAAAAAAGGGGATATGGTATGATAAAACTGAAGCATGCCCACAAGCTTGGGTTGTCGCGACGGGATCGATTTGCAGTAGCATCTGATTCTTTTCCCAAATTTTCGTTTTTCCTCTTCATTTTTTCCTTGTCTTCATTTCTCCTTCAGTTTCCTTTTCTCATTTCTGCATGGGCAAACGGTTTCTGACCTCTCGCTTGATCTCTCGGGTCAACAGATGAACGTTTCTGTCTGTTGCTGTGTGACATTGTCCGTCCCACTTTTTTGCATGATGGCGTTTTTTTTTTTGTTTCCCTACCGTGGTGCTTTGCCGATGATGTGAAATGTTGTCTGGGACGGAGGTTGTTGGAAAGATTCTGGCAATGGACTTGAGATTGATGACTGATATGAGCAATGTCGATGTTTTTTTTCGTGTTTTTTTTTTTTTTTTTTTCGAAGGCATGGGAGGAAGTTATGGTGGATGATAAAGAAGGTCTAGCTAGCTAGGTTAGCTATTTGTTGATGTTCAGCCATGTACAAGCATGATGCTAGGGAAGAATCAAAAAACGTAGAGATAAATTGGAAAAGTCTTTGTTATTCAACGTTACGATCACGCACCGATCTTCGTGTAAAACTCCACATTGAGTTTAGTTTGTATGTGGTCTTAGTGGCAGTCTCGAGGCAGTGTCAGTTGATCTATTCTCCAAAATATTTTCTCCCGAGTCATTTTTCTAGTGCCGGAGCCCGGAAGAGATAACTTGATGGTGATCACGTGTGTTGTTAGTAATACGAGTCATCGTCTGTGTATATCAATTGGCAAGGCATAAGTGGTAAGGTGACTTTTATATGTCCGAATGTGGTGATGAACTACCAATGCCTCCGTTACATTTAGGATTTATTGCACTGCGTTTCTGCTTTAATCTAGTCCCATAGCGTTGCTCATAGTCTCTTTCATAGCCTATCTATGTTGTCACGGTAAGTAGGTTTGAGGGCTGAGGGCACCATCAGAATTGACGAGTGAGATATCGAGGATGAAGAAGGTAACAGGATAAGGGTTCTTTTATGCGATGACAAGACCAGATGGGATGAAATGCCAAAGACACAGGTGCTGGCATGTCGTACCATCAACATTAATGATGTTGACTTCTGCCTCTATATTTCTACTTCGGCCCGACCAAGACCGTAACCCAAAACAAATAAGCCAAGTAGCAGCAGCAATCCCGTTTAAACGCCAGGCCAAAATGCTAAACACTTTCAGGTTAGCGCCCCCAATGTACCCATTCATTCAGCTGTCGTACGTCTCATCCTTTCCTGAACAAGGCTCGTTCTTTTGTTGTTGGAGCGCATGTTCCGTCCAGTTCTTGTGCTCATACCAAGTTTGTGTACACCGATAGTAAACCACGACCTTCCTTTTCTCTCGATTTCTGTCTGGGATTGTTGCCCCTCGACAACTCAATTCGAAGTCGAATATTCAGCCCTTGCTCTTGGTGTTGAGGATGAGGGCAACAATGAGGCTAAGCACCAAACCTTGGTCAGCATATTGTTCATAACTCTGAAACGATAGCTCACCAGCGGGGGGGTTAGTTAGTTGAAATCTTACCCATAAAGACCGAGGACTTCGCCGAAAATGAGGATCAAAACCATGCCGACAAAGATCCTCGACTGTAGCATGAATGAACGGACGCCCTTGTCGCCTACGATACCAATGCAATAGCCCGCGGCGAGACCGGTGAGGCCGACTGAAAGACCGCATGCGAGATGCATGAAGCCACTGTGGTGAGAACGGAGCGTTAGTTGTGCCCTTCACAGGATATGTGATATCCATAACCTGACTCTGTAAACCCAGAGACGTCGTCGGTCATGACACGTACTTGAACAAGCTGTAATGTTGGCCTGATCCTGGCGGCCCGAGATCTTGTGCGATCAGGACAGCTACAACGAGGGCGTAAACGGCAATAATACCGGACATGACGACAGGAATCAAGCACTATCGGTCGTAGGAGAGCATGTTAGTCTCTGCAGATGAGTACTGTAGCCATGTTGCTAGAGGGGAGCTAACCTTCATGATGAGGTCCGGCCGGAAGGTACCCACGCCGGCGATACCGATGCCAGACTTGGCTGTGCCATATGCAGCGCCCGCGCCTGTGAAATTGGAAACGACATGGTCAGCGTTTGTGATGTTGGTAAGGCGTGAAGTTGGGAATTGGGAGAACTGTACTGCCAAAGATCATGGCGGCTGCGATGCCGGCCTGGTCAGAGAGAACATTGTTAGTGGACCTGGATGTTGTTCTTGTCGAGTGACAGTTGCGTGGTGATGTCCCTTCCTATCCTAGCTGCACCTTGTTGGCCACCGGGGATGGGTGGTTTCGCGGCTGCTGTTGACGTACCATGCCAATGAACGGCGCGAACTTGGGGGCAAGTTCCGAATCGGCCATGATTTCGGCCATGGTTATAGCTTATAGACAAGAGACTGAATCAGTATGTTGGCGACGACAGTATGAAGCGCAGGGAAACTGGTAAACGTTGGGAGCCAGGCGCTGTGAGGTCGAGCGGGATGTTCGTCAGTTGGAGACTCGAGACACTGCTTCCTGGTTCACAATGGAGACAGCCGACGCAACGACGCACTCCAGCAATGCAGCGGGAAGCTTGGACCACTGCCGCCTGCCCCAGGCTGGCTTGGCGTCCAGACAGTTAGCGTGTACAGTCACGTGCAAGCTCAGGAACATCTTTGGTGCATGCAGGCTTCGCTTTCGACTGGTGTATTAACATCACTGCAAGATGGATGCCCGTGATGAACTTTGACACTCATCGGGCAATGATGGAATTGGTACACAGCGACGGCCTCCAATTGACTTAATGAAGACTAGCCATCTGTTTGGCTGAGCGTCTCGGGTTTAACTCAGCGGCATGGCATCATCCGAGTTGTGTATTGACCGAACTCTGGAAGGCACAAGTTAGGTAGATGGATGCGAATTGAACAACAGTTGCTCAAGCTGAGACGGAAACATGAAGCCCGGGTGTCGCCAAATGCGTCCCGTTAGGTGACCTTCTCATCTTTTCCCCTTATTTGTGTAAGCTCAACCGTACTTGAACCAGTGCGTTAAAGACATTGCATGGTGTTCTGACATTTCGGGTAATCCTCTCATTGTCCATACGAACCCCCGCTTGACGAACACAGTGACAGTAGGATTGACTTGATTGGAGGTAGGGTTGCCTCCAACCACCTAACAATGGAATCATATCGTCGAGTCTTTCACACTTCCTCAGCCTTACTCAGTGCCAATGGCATCATCGCTATCCAACGCCGTGCCACTTGGATGAGAAATTCTCTATACTGGGTGATGATGCTCTATCGCAGATTCCAAAAACAGTCAAGGATGGACTCAAAGTTGTAATAAGTTGAACCCCTTTTGTGCCCCTAGTCGACGGGGAATCGCCTCCCCGCAATTCTAGGAACAACAACGTTCTGACCTGGTGGATCGCCAAACCACCGAGCAACAAGTGACATTTAGCTTTGACCAGAAGACCAGAACAGCTCGCGGAATTCCATCTCCCCATTGCTAGCTGAACATCAACCCAGTTCATCTCGCTGAACTACTTGGTTAAAATCTCTTGAACCAGAACTAGAAAAGTTGACCTGGACATGGATTTTTACGCATCTACACGGCTTCTCCCAGTAACTACATCAGCCCCCATTCCGCATCACAACCGCCCGGAAGTGCAACAAAACGACCTCGGAGCGCACGCGGGCATAGGTATTTTGCTGCACCCTCGTAAACAATCCGACTGATCGGCCATCTGGCGGCACAGCCAACACGGGCAGGACAAGCTATCAAGAACGGGGGATGTGATAGGACAGCCCATCTAGAATAATACCACCCTCCTCCCTCCATCTTGACGTTCCATCTTCACGTTCTTGTTGTATCGTGATGTTTCTCATTTTTGACCAGACCACTGCCATGCTTGGCGTATCTGCCTCTTCACCTGAACCTACCTCTAACATCTGAACATCAAAAGTTACTCTAGCTAGCTGTGGTCAAGAGTCCCGTCGTTGATCCAGATTGAACCAACCAAGGACGACCAGATCAAAGCCCACGCCGGTTCCTGATGCTCCACTTTTGATTGCAAATGGCCCCTGTAGAAGCCCTGCGCTCAGTGGTCGGTCATTCGGTCGGGTCCCATCAGCCATCCCATCAGCCATCATCCACCGCACACCTCTGCCCTGGCTGTAGGAGTGTAGTTCGACATTCCAGCCCCGTACCCGTACATTGGCGACCTTGACCCTTCAGTTCCCCCCCTCTCCGTCTCCGTCTCCGTCCCCGTCCCCGTCCCCGTCTACCGTATTCCAATCGACGACAGAGAGGTAGACCAACTGAAGGCCGTGCTTCTCGCTGCGCAGGTGGTCGGCTACACTTGGCGAGTAGATTGCAGATTGCCTGCACAGTCGTACCTCTACCGAATCGACCTGTCCATCAGACCTACCTACCTACCTACCTACCTACCTACCGTACCTGTACAGCGCCCGAGCACCGCCGCCGACCGAAGAACAATCGAAATACCTACGACAGGAGCGACGGAGCGAGCGAGCACCTCGCATCAACCTCTAGCCTGCATCGCACCAGCAGCACCACCCGACTCGCCTCCCTCGCCAGCCGTCCGCCCGCCCGCCCGCCCGCCCGCCCGCCGCCGCCGTCATGGCCGACTATCATCAAGACCCCCGGTCCCGATCCAATCACCCGCAGTACGGCCCTCCCCCCGGCAGTCGCGGTGGTGACGGCTATGGACAACGAGATGCCGCCTTCTCCAACATCTTCGGCGCCGCCCCGCCCCCCGGCCGATCGCACACCATGACTTCCTCCGTCCCACCCCCTATGATGCACCTCAACGAGGGCCGAACCCATACCATGTCGTCCACGTCGGGAGCCTCCATGCAGAGACCGCCGCAACAGCGCCCCCCACCGTCCGGCGGACCCGGAGGAGGAGGCAGTGGATCAGGGGAAAGAGGAGGCTATGGTGACCCCCGGGCGCGCCTTGACACGAATGGATACGGCCAGAGCCAGCGCTCCGTCTCCGCCGGACAGCAAGTTCCCTCTGCTCAGTACCTACAACAACAACAAGCGGCGCGACGACCCCCTCCTGGCGCCTACCCCCCTCAACATGCTCCGAGGGGCGACTCTGTGAGGGCCGATTCTCTTAGGGGCCCTGCGCCCCAGGGTTTCTACAACAATGCCTCGCGATCTCCTGCCCAGGCTTATTACAACCAGCCGGGGGGCAGACCGGCGCCGGCCTTGAACTCCGACCCCTACCGATCACAGTCGCTTGCGAGCGTTCCCCGGCCACAAATGTATCAGGGCTCGACCCCGCAACAGTCGCCAGCCAACGCTTTCCGCCAGGCTCAATACACTGGGAGCTCGGCTCGGACAACCGCACAGGGGCGCATTGTGCCCGAGAGGCATATGGAAGACCGTGCCATGTCCATGACCGGCTACCCCTCATACGACCGCGATGCCCACCAAACTCCTAGTGGAAGAGTCATACCCAACAGGAGGGCACCAGGATCCAGCCCAGACCATGGCCCTACCCCTTCGCAATACCCAGCTCCCGGAAGCCAGTCGGGAAGAACTGTCAGCATCACGTCCACGACAACCGTCGACCCGAATGGGCGAACCATGTCCATGGCGTCTACTATCGCTCCTTCGATAGCGCCGACGGAACGGAACGAAGATGGGACCTTGGTACATCGCTACTCGGGCGGCGCATCGTCCATGACGGGCGACCGGCCCGTTACCGTCAAGATCAGGATGCCTCTGGTATACCCGGCTCTTCTGTCCCGCGTGGCCGAAACGTTCCGGCGCAAGATTGTTGTAGGAGATAGGACCAAGAACGAACTGACCTACAAGAACGCTTTCAGCGGTGCCGAAGCCGTCGATGTGCTGTCATACATTATCAGGACGACGGATCGAAACTTGGCCCTGTTGCTGGGTAGAGCTTTGGACGCCCAAAAGTTCTTCCACGATGTTACATACGAACACCGCTTGAGAGATTCAACCTACGAAATGTACCAATTCAGGGAAACACTGACCGATGACGAGAAGCCAGCGGTCAATGGTGTTTTTGTCCTGCTATCCGAATGTTACTCTCCAACATGCACACCCGATCAGCTCTGCTACTCTATCGCATGCCCTCGCCGTCTCGAGCAAATGGCCAAGCTGAACCTGAAGGGAGGAATTGGCCTCAAGCAAGAAGGAAAAGCCGCGGTCAACGATGACGATGTTGACCAGACCGACGAGCAAAAGTTGTGGATTAACAGCGTACCGAAGGAAATTGCGGACAGTATCGGCGACAGAGAAAAGAAGAGGCAAGAGGTTATCAGTGAGATCTGCTACACAGAAAGGGACTTTGTCAAGGATCTCGAGTATTTGCGAGATTTCTGGATCTACCCTCTCAAGGGCAAGATTAACGGCCATTCTCCGATTCCTCTACAACGGCGGGAGCGCGTTGTACGGACAATCTTCACCAACATTATCGATCCTCCAAGCATTCACGGCGTCAGTTCAAAGTTCGCCAAGAGTCTCACTGAACGGCAACAAAAGACTCCAGTCGTTCAAAACATTGGAGATATCTTTTTGGAATTTGTCCCTCAGTTCGAACCATTCATCCTTTACGGTGCGAAGCAGTTGGAAGGCAAATTCGAATTCGAGAACGAACGGTCCATCAACAAGGACTTTGCAAGATTTGTGGACGAGGTTGAACGCCGCAGAGAGTCGAGAAAGCTGGAGCTGAACGGTTACCTCACCAAGCCAACCACACGTCTGGCGAGATATCCTCTACTTCTAGAAAACGTTCTCAAGTATACGGAAGAAGGTAATCCGGACAAGGAGGATCTTCCCAAGGTCCTGACTATGATCAGAGATCTCTTGAGCAGGGTTAACGCGGAGTCGGGCAAGGCTGAAAATCGCTTCAACCTGCGCCGTCTGCACGAGCAGCTCAAGTTCCGTCCCAACGACAAGATGGACCTCAAGCTTACGAACGAGGGTCGTGAGCTTGTATACAAGGCTCAGTTCAAGAAGTCGCCAACAGAAAATGCTGATCTCACGGCTTTCCTGTTTGATCACGCAGTTCTCCTTGTGAAGATTAAACAGGTTGGCAAGACAGAAGAAATCAAGGCATACCGCAGACCTATACCCTTGGAGCTACTTTCTATCAAGGAAATGGAGGAAATCATTCCTTCAGGGGCTGTCAAAAGGTCTTCATCAAGCTTGCTGCCTGCTCTACGCACTACTACCGACGCCAAGAAGGGTGATGGGTGGCCGATCACGTTCCGACATCTTGGAAAGAACGGCTACGAACTAACGGTGTACGCATCGAATCAGGCAGGACGACAGAAATGGCTCGAGTTTATCGATGCCGCCCAGCAGCAGCTCAGGGCCCGTGCGGATTTCTTGAACACTACGATAATATCGTATGGTTACTTTGCCGGCCCCAACAAGGTCAACTGCGCCACGCCGTTCGGTAAGCACTTTAGGACGACCAAGTCAAGTATCAGAGCTCTTGTGCTGACAAAAATACAGATGGTGGAAGGAAGATCATCTATGGTACGGACCAGGGTATCTTTGTCTCCGATCGTAAGACCAAGGAGATACCACCGAAGCGTGTTATCGATGTGCAAAACGTCACCCAAGTCGACGTGTTGGAAGAGTATTCACTGTTGTTGGTGCTTTCCAACAAGTCTCTATACTCGTACCAACTGGATGCGCTTAACCCCAACGAGCCGATTTCATCCAAGCGTGGCAAGAAGATCCAAAGTCACTGCAACTTCTTCAAGATCGGCATCTGCCTCGGCCGACATCTTGTGTGCGCCGTCAAGAGCTCCGCGCTGTCAACTACGATCAAGGTGTACGAGCCGAACGATGCCATGTCCGGCGCCAAGAAGCAGAGGGGTCTCAGCAAGATGTTCAACGCCGGTCAGGACGAACTCCGGCCATTCAAGGAGTTCTATATTCCGACGGAATCCTCATCGGTACACTTCCTCAAGTCCAAGCTTTGCGTTGCATGCGCCCGCGGCTTCGAGGTTGTCAGTCTCGAGACCCTCGAGACGCAGTCCCTTCTCGATCAGGCCGACACATCGCTCGATTTTGTCCAGAGGAAGGAAGGCGTCAAGCCCATCCATATCGAGCGCCTCAACGGCGAGTTCCTCCTCAACTACAGCGAGTTCTCGTTCTTCGTTAACCGCAACGGATGGAGGGCTCGTCCCGAATGGCGTCTGGATTGGGAGGGAACACCACAAGCCTTTGCGCTCAGCTATCCTTGGATATTGGCGTTTGAGCCCAACTTTATTGAGCTCAGGAACATTGATAACCTGGCGGTACATATTGTGCCGCACAAGAACATCAGGATGCTACACAGCAGTACACATGAAGTGAGCCGTAACCTAAATGTCATATGTGATGGACACCTCGAAGCTAACACAACTGCCAGATTCTGTTCGCATATGAAGATGAACGTGGCGAGGATATTATCGAGGCCATCGATTTCTGGAAGAGTCAGAAAAAGTTGGCGGATGCGTAGTAGTTCTTCTCTACCATCATTCCTGGTTAAGTATCTAAGTGTAGGGCTGGCAGCTTTAATATGTATCTCGCGCAAGCGGCGGTGGACATGGGGACCCGGACACAGGACAAACAACATTATGGATATGGAAGAAGCGGCGAAGAAAGGAAGAAACGGCGGGATCGAAGATATCGCAATGATGTCCTTGTTATTGTTGTTTTCGTCATCATCTTTTTTTTTTCTACTATTTCTTGTTTATTCTTTTTCCCACACAGAAGCCATTTACAAATTTTCTTGTTTGGTTTTGAGCAGCAAAAAGGGAGGAATGAAGAAGGGAGAACGGAGGACGGCACACACACACATTCATCCGAGGCTTCCTTCCTCCTCATCTGTTTCCTCTTACTCTCTCCAGAATTTTTAATACCCTCTCTTCTTCCATCCTAACAAGAACATAAGAGTCTCCATGGTGTTGTTGTTCCTTGGGGAGGCAAAAACGACTTGAACCCGTCTGCTACTACAGTCAGTACACATGCATTGTGCGATGTCTACGCTTGTTCGGTAACCTCATCTTTATCTACTAAACGAGATCGGGAAATAAAAAAGTGATGTCTAGGTACTATACCTACCTCCCCCCCTCCCAAGATACAAGAGGAAGGAAAGAAGGAAAGAAAGAAAGAAAGAAAGAAAGAAAGAAATACATGAGTCGGGTAAACCAAAAAGATGAGAGGAAAGTGCTGGACACATCATGACACATAACGAACATGGGCAAGCACACCAGGAAACTACCTACCTACCTAGAAAGGCATAATAACTACTAGGTAGGTAGGTAACCACATATGTAGGTATTGATTCAATCAAGCTTTTCTATCATTCATGGCTGTTATGACTGATGGAACTAATCGCGGGTACTGAAAAAATCCTGCAGTTCGGCGCGGTGGAAGAAGCTGTGATAGGTAGCATCTCCCGCTTATTCGTCTGTCTAAGTATCCCTAAAGGACCATCCATCCATCCATCTCTATCAACTCAATATACATACTAATGTTTTACTTGTAACATCTAATCAAGGGGTGAAAAGCTTGTGGTTAGGTGATTAGTGCGGTACCTTGTTCTTGTTCTTTGTCTTGCGATACCTACCTAGGTACATACCTACCTACCTACCTACCTACCTACCTACCTACCTACCTACCTACCTACCTACCTACCTACCTACCTACCTACCTGTTTAGTACTGTCTGTACCTACCTACACAAGTCCGACGAACGAGTCTACTAAGTACCTAGGTAGCCAAAGCTTAGTTTCTCGATATTGATATGACTGATTCACGACGATGACAGCGTCACAATGCGAGCAAATAGATGGTAGATGGTTGGCATTAGGGAGGTAAAAAAGAAAAGAAAAGAAAAGGCAAGAACAGAATCTGAATAAAACGTCGTGTGCGTGCAACTTCATCGTTCGATCAGAGAATATAGTATCGGGACACTACATACCTATAAACCAAAAAGAAGCGGGTCGTAACTTTGTTCTAGTTCGTGCTTCGGAGTGTCATCGAATGAATCGTCATGACATAGATGGCTGTACACGCACAAGTCTCCTCCGAACAGAGAAGGGTATTGTGCGCTGGTGATACCTGGTATAAGGCTAGTGGGGTGATTAAGGATTATTGCTATTTAGTGTGGTGGTAGCGGGACTTTGGAAAGAACTTAAAGGGATGGGTTGGAAGGATTACGCATGATTATCAGAAAGGACTTGGGATAGATTAGGCTGTGGTAAGCTTGAATATATAGGAGTGAAGAGGGGAGTGAAGAGGGGAGTGAAGAGGGGAGTGAAGAGAGGAATGATCAATGAAATAGAGAAAAGTGAAAAGAGGTACGTCAAGAGAGAACAAGAATCAAACGGACCAAGTTCTATCTACCCATTGTAGTGTAGCTGCAGACAGGTTCGGTACATCTTGCGACGTCTCAAGCATCAGCTAGAGGTCGGTAAGTAGGTATCGAAATCCACGCCTGCTATCAATCAGTCAGTGTCGTCGTCCCAGTAAAATCTCCCTCCATACTGGAAAAACAATTAAGTAAAATCAACTGTGATTATACAACTATAGAAACCCACAAGTTCGTCTTGTAGTAAGGAAGGCATCGAGTAAACTACCCAGTCAATGAATGGCTCAGATAAAGATGATCGATCTCACCTTTCTCTGTATTAGAAACAAACAATGTCAAAGACCCCGTTGGGGGGTATACTACTCCGTAACCCATATTTCAAGGACCATGACAAAATCAACGTGTTCATCTTCTCTACCTTCACCACTAACTACCTGGTAAACCCAAAGTACCTACCATACCAAAACATGACTTTTTGTACAAAGAGAAAAAAACCTAAAAGACCACGGTACATAACGTGTTTCTCTTCTTCACAAGTTCCTCTTTTCACACACAACATTCCTCTCTCTCCCATCTTCTTCAACAAATCGTATGACCAGTCTTTCTACTTGAGTGCTCCCTTTTCATCGTTTACTCTCTCCGGCCCATGCTTGTTTGGATGGATAAAAAATAAGAAGACCATGTACAAATTTCACAAGGCTAGTTTTAGAAACACAGGTCCCGGTTTCCCCACGCTACGCCGTTTCCTTCCGTGTCCGCGCCCAAGTTTCCATTCTTCTTTGATCATCCCCAACGACTTTTTGGATATTTCATCATTAGAGCAACCAAAAATTTAAAAACCTTTCAATTTTCCTCTTCCTGATCAAGCGATGTATAAACTTTGGATATTTTCTGGTCGCTCGCTTAAGAGGTGGAAGGCTCGAGGGTAACACCGCTGTTTTTTGAGAAAAGAAAAATACGTTAGTGATTGTTTCGGTCATGGTATTTGATAGAATAAAAAAAACTTACGCAGCAATGGTGGCCCAACCGATAAGACGCCAGTGCTTCTCGATACGTCTGGAAAGGGCAACCTTCTCGCCAATGCTCGTGCAGGCGGGGGAGGTGAGGATGAGCTTGGCGGCATCCTTCTTGATGGCGGAGACCTTGGCACCGGTGGAGGTGGAACCAATGTTGACCATGATGACTTCGTTCTTGGCGAGCTTGTCGACCTTGGCCTGCTTGCCGTCGGCGGTGCGGACACCGAGAAGGCGGCGGAGGAGGTAGAAGTTGACTTCGATCTCGGAGTAGATCTCGGGGAGGCGGCCCTTGAGACCGAGGACGAAACCGACCAGACGATCGGCACGGCAGAGGGTAGGGTCGATGCGGGTACCGACACCAATGAGACCACCGGGCACGGCGTACTTGAGGTCGTTGGCCTCGGAGTTGAGGGAGACGATCCTGCTGAAGATGGGAGTGCACTTGAGGTCGCCCTTCTCGTCACGGGTGACGATACCGGGACGGATCTCGATCTCGTCGCCGAGCTTGAGGACACCGTGGAGAATGGAACCACCGGCAACACCACCCTTGAGCTCGTCAATCTCGGCACCGGGCTTGTTGACGTCGAAGGAACGAATGACAATCATCTGGGGGTCCATGGAGAAATCCCTGGGAGGAACGGGGATGGTGTTGACGATGGCATCGTTGATGGCGTCAATGTTGAACTTGAGCTGGGCCGAGATGGGGATGATGGGCGACTTTCCAGCAACGGTACCACGGATGAACTTGAGGATGGACTCGTAGTGCTGCTTGGCGGCCTCCTCGCGCATGAGATCGACCTTGTTCTGGAGGATGATGATCTTGTCGAGCTTCATAATCTCGATGGCAGCCAAATGTTCGGAGGTCTGGGGCTGGGGGCAGGATTCGTTTCCGGCAATCAGGAGGAGAGCGGCGTCCATGACAGCGGCACCTGAAAGCATAGTGCTCATGAGAATATCGTGACCAGGGCAGTCGACGAAGCTGGGAGGAGGGACATGGTCAGTCATTCGTTGGCGCAAATGATGTTATGCATGACAACTTACGAGACATGGCGCAACAGACGGTAGGTGCCCTCGCAACCCTCGCGCTCGCAAGGGGGATCAACCTCCTTCTCGGACTTGTAACTCCTGTAGCATGTCGGGCGAGGGCATGCTGGGTTGTCGCACTTGTAGATCTTTGCGTTGGCGTAACCGAGCTTGATTGTGATGTTGCGGATGAGCTCGTTCTTGAAACGGACCGTCTGGACGCCCGAGATGGCTTTTACTACTGTCGACTTGCCGTGGGCGACGTGGCCGATGGTGCCGATGTTGATGGTGGCCTGTCGCGCAATGATCTCGGGGGTGAGGGGGCTGAGGGTCTTGACGTCGAGGTCCTTGGGATCGGTCTGGGGAGGAAGGGGAGGTCTCTGGACGACGGGGGCGGGGGCCTTCTTGAGGGCCGACTTGCGCGGCTTGGCCTCGACCTCGTTGTCGGACTCGTGCTGGTCGACGTGAGACTCGTTGTCGGAGCCCGAGTCGGACTCGACGATATCGTTGCCGAACTTGTCGCCGTTGGTAGCCATGATTGTGGATGTGGATGGAGGTGAGGTGTGGAGGTTAGTTAGGTCGGGTCGTCAAGTCGATGGATGGATGTGTCGCGGGGCAGTAATTTTTTCGCTTTCGGTGAAGCAACCCCTCTTGCTGTGTACTGTGCAGTGGGTGGTGTATGCCTGGTAGTTGCTTTGCTACTTTTCCAGACCCTGCTCCTTGGTGTGGGTATGTGGGTGTCTGTCCTACTGCCTGTCTCCGCAACGGGACTCGCGATATTTGTGATAGCGGGCGTTGTTGGTGGACGGTAGTATGTAGTGTAAAACTGGACCTGACCAAAATAGTGGGGTTACAGCGAAGGTTGGAGGAAGGCTGAGAAGAAAAACTGCCTGCCTGGTGGATGACTCTGACGATATTTGACTTGTGTTTGGCTTGTGTGCTGCCGCTGCCAGCTGCGACCAACAAGGCGAGCCGCCTCACACATTCCGCTCTGCGAACCTCTGCCCTGCGTGCGCCCAGCCCTTTGCCGCTGCCCCACTAAGGCCGATAAGAGTGCGATAAGGACTCGCCTCTGGCTGCTGTGGTTATGAAATCCAGAGCTCAGTCACGGTTCAACTTCAACATCATCGAGGTGACTTTGGGAACTTCTATCCTATCAAGAGTTCGCTATCTACACTTTCATCCAACCCTCTGTCCCGTCTGTTTCGGCAGAAACTCACTCACAGCGTACACGGCAAATCAACGCTGGGAAATATATCACCTGAACGTCGAGAACGGATACGTTGTATCGATCGGCGAATTGAAATCAGTTTCTTTCTTTGAGAACAATCGTTACTCGGCAACGGCCTCTCCCATTGACACCGGCATCCTTCGACGTACATACGAACGTTTCCGGGTCGATAAGCTGATCCATCACTCAACAACGCCGAGTCTGCTTGTCGTCGTCAACTCTGAGGAGCACCCACGATGCTGGTCATGGCCACAGTCTCAACTCTATGAAGCTTGGTTAAGGGATAATGCCTGGCCGTGGCGTCAAAATTTAGGACACAAGGTGTCTCCTCCTGGATTCGACCCTTTCCCATCAAGTTATTCGATATCTTCACGAAGAGTGAGGCTCATCACTCCTGGGAGAATAAGGGTTCAACTTGGGTTCAGTCTCGGGATTATAGCCGCTGTGAAAAGTTGAGCCAAGTGGCCCGAAGGTTGTCCTCCGTGATGTCGGACTGGGGCAGGGAGTAACTGCAACAGCTGTGCAAGCGTCACAGGACCATCTTTGTTCGGGTGTTCTGGACAACACTGCTCGATTTTATTGGGAACATGCTCGATATACATGGAAGCTACATCGGCCACCAACACGCTTCTCTCCTGGCCCCAAAACCGCGCCCAAGCCCTTGTTTCACATCCAACCCAGATGCTTGTTGGATCGGGATCGGGAAGATTCCGGGCCCAAGACCTGTTCAACAGCGCGTACAACCGTCTCTGATGGTTCGAGAAGCAGTCTAGTAGGATTCAAGCCACAACCGATTCACAGCAATGACCATTGGAGCGGGGAGAAGACTCAGTCGGTTACACGAGACATATCCGCTTGACCGCTAACTGGCCGTCAGTCACGTCCATAACCATGCTTGGAGCTTGACCATCGCTGGGTTGGGGTCAAGAAAAGCAGCATGGGAGTGTCTATTCAACATCATTCGGGCTGAGACTGGGCAAAGGGACCAAAAGGTGAAATCGCAACTGGCAAGGCCGAGCTACTCCTATTAATACCTTGTCAGTTCTTCTTGAGAGGCACTTGCTGAGGAAGTGTCTTCTGCAATGAGCTTGCTAATCATCGTTTCACGACATGATGTAGGCAGCATTACCTACGGCACTACTCACCAAGTTGGGAATTCTTGCTGAGCTCGGATTCTTCTTGTCAAGTAATCGAACCGCATCAATGGTGCCATGGGCGATGACTTGCAGCAGCCGAACAGCGTGCTTCCACCGAGCCACCGAGATGGCCAAAAGGACGGGTAGGAATGCAACGCAGAACTGGCTGCCCATTATGGCTTTGATGGCGATATCACAATGGTGATACTGAAGCTTTCAATACACAACCTCCGGCTCGGCGGACTAAAAATACCACATCGGTGGCAACAGCACCTACAAGTTGATGTGCTAAATACTGGCACTTCCATGATACTCTGTGCTTACGAACACCCGATGGAGGGTGGGCAATATATCTGTGCTGACAAGTGCAGCACAAGGTAACCTCGCTTCCAGGTGTAGATACGGTTTCTCGTCAGAGTTGAGGACGGCATATAAGTTGCCAAGCTATCTATGGGCGGAAACTCGTAAGCTGAGATGTCCGAGTTCGATAATATATTGGCTGTCAAGTGCAAGTCCAGAACAAGGACATCACTGTCGCGGACTTGTTACTACGGCTCTGATATTCATGGTGTTGATCATTGCGAGTCCAGATCACACACCCAAAACACCAGCCTTGTATCGTCTTTCCTGAATCAACCTCTTTGCAGAATTCGTCTTACACTCACTCAGCAGCACTGCATCCGTCCTGGCGGTGTACATGTCTTGGTACCATGCCATGTTGTCCGCTGTGCTACGGAACACCGACGTCGTCGCTGTTCCAGAGGACCCCGCTCCCAGATAGAGAAAAGCGTAAAGAACACAGAATAGCTGGAAGGTCGGGAAGCAGAGACCACACGTGTGATGGTGCGACATTGACAAGTCTGAGGAAGCCGCCGGGTTGATCAAGTCCCCGCCTTCACCAGCCCTTGGCTTTCACATTTATGAACATGGTCAACTGACGATTCTGGTCGGCAAGTATAAAAGATTACTGTGTCCCCGGCGCGTGATTCCCGCGCGTTCCCGCGAAGTCATGGTCAAACATCACACTCAGAATCGTGAATTTAGCCCTTTCTGGGTCAGCGCCCGATATTGCACTAGATTGGGGGACCAAGATTTGCGAAAAATGGAGTGTGAACAGCGTGGAGCGAGCGAGTCGCTAGTCGCGGAGAAGAGAGCGTAGACGAGGTTTGTGTGGTACCGCTTGCCGCCCACCAATGCATGGTTGGCAGCTCTATCACAGGATTGTGCCATCTTATTGGCTACACATGTGAAAAGCCCAAACGAACAACCAATTAGAAGACTCGGAACACTCCAGGGTAGGCAGTTGGATGGCAGGGCACCAGCGGAGATGTACGGCAGGGGTTCTTGTGAACAAGGCCCGCCCTCCAAGACTTCCTCAGCAACGACAACGACGACGACGACCGCTTGCCGCCCAACCACGGGCCGCCGTCTCCTATCGTTGCTCTGAGCTTCACGCCGTCGATGATCTTGGCGGTACATCTGGACGATGTCGTTGGCCTGCCCCTTCCTGGTCGAGTCCGGTAAAAGTGCTCCCCCATCCGCCAGCCGCCCCCAGCCAATGGATTCGTGTTACCCAACCTTGCCCATCCGAACCAGTGATATTTTCTCCTGTGACCAGGAAGGCAGAACACAGAGAGAGGATGAAGGGCTCTGGTGTTGGGGGCGAGAAGACACGAGGAGAGAAGAAGGGCTCATCATGAGCAGTCAGTTGCTACTCGAGTTATCTGAGCACATTTCCGTCTTCTTGGCCATGTGTGTGCACACGCAAGGCCATCTACATGTTGGTGTTGACGCCGCGGGATCGTTCATGCCGTCAACAGGCTGTTGTCATTCCCCTGGTCCGTTGCTACTATATCGAGAAGAAGAAAGGTTGCAACCCCACTTCCGTCCGGTCTTACATCTTTTCTTATGGTGTTCGAGTCTTATGTAGACCATTTCTGCTTCTAGACTTGACTTTCTCTTCTTCTCCCGTTTCTCTCAAAGCAACACCACAGAAATCTGCAGCATCTCCAACATCCAGGAGACGCAGGGAACAAAAAAACGGCCTGCCACTGTCCGATCCCAGTTCCTCGCTTGCCGACGTACATCTGCGGCCTCCCTCTTGAGCCACGAGCGAAAAAGTAGCTAGAGGTAACCACGAAGCCAGTCCGGTGCCCACTCCTGACTCCCAGTGGGCGTCTATTTTCGACATCAGTCGCCCGACCTTATTGGCGACACTAGCCTGTCGTCCTATCAGCTTCCGTGTCTCGGGTCCGACTACACCACCCCTGTGCAAAGTATGCTTCCCTATTGCTTCCCTCCGAGGAACCACTTGCTGATCGTCTCATGCAGAGAGGCAAGACTCGCGCAACCACCCATACCCATCCACCACCAGGATACCAAATCAAGGTGTACCAGGTAGTGGCAGCGGCTATTCAAAACCACCTTCACCCCAACGGCAGCGTCTCGCTTTCCATCCTCTCCTCTACTTCGGTAGCTGGGCTCTCTCATATCTGTGTCTCCTTTCCATTATACTCTATTTCCTTTTGCTTCACTCCTGCAAAGTGCGTGCCGTCATCATCTCACAGTTTGAGGCTGTGTACCCTTTGCTAGTTTGATATCGACATCGGGGACTGGCTTCTTCGAATTATTTCTCATACAGTAAAGCCAACCAAAACGTATACACATCTACATCGTCGACATGGCCTTCAACGACGAGAAGAAGCGGCCAGCCGCTCTCAACCTGACACCCCAACGAACAATGTCGGCCGGCTCAGTCTCTTCCAACAACTCATCATCCACATCCTCATCACTGGCCAAGCCTCCAAGGACACCACGATTTGCCGAAGCCACCTCAGTACACTCGCCTGTCGATGGACGAACACTACCCTTTTCTGACCAGTCGGAGGTTGCGCATGCTCAGCCTGGAGATGTTGGTTTTGGTTATATCGGGAATGGAGGAAACAGGGAATCAGTCGCCATGCCAATGACGCCAAGGTCGCCCCTCAAGAGTGCGATGAAGGTTCCGGGAACACCAGGTCGGACTCTCGCCAATCCTCTCAGCCCAACATTCAGGGAAGAGGAGGAGCTGGAGGTAAAGGAAAAGTTGACGGAGAAGGAGCAGGCCAGGGATTTGGTGAGTTTTTGCATTCGATTTGCGAGCAAGCTCTAGGGTACTAACAGAGATACAGAAAATCAAAACCCGGGTACGCATGGCCAAGTTCGCTCTCCGCGGTGTCAACTTCAGCTGCAGTCTCATCATTCTCTCCATGCTTTCGGCCTCGTTTTCCATCTTCAACGCTACCCGACATCTTCCGGCCATGAACGGCCTTCCCGCCTGGGCCGCTGGCACCAACCCTTGGCCTCAATACGTCGTTCTCGCCTGCTCCTGCGTCTCGCTGCTCATCTGCATCGGTGTCTTCATTGGTTACTGCCGTGGGGGTCATCAAAGGGCGGAGAAGGTTGGCGTGTACTACACGCTCTTTGCTGTGGGCTGGTTCATTTTCAGCATGATCATGTGGGCGGTGGCTGCCGGTATCTTCCAATTCACCAAGAACAACAGCAAGAACCAAGACATGTGGGGTTGGTCTTGCGTTGAGAACCACCGCGCGGAGCTCTTCAAGGACAAGGTCGACTACGCGCTTGTGTGCCGTCTTCAGGTAAGCTCTTTCCCCCCCTCACTTCGTATCACGGCAACACCCGGAATGTCTTACTGACAACAAACTTTTTACTCGTTGAACAGAACTGGGGTCTTATCTGCATGATTATCGAAATCATTATCGAGATCATCAGTATCACGCTCTACAGCATCGTCTTCTACCGCTACTGGTCCAAGCGCAAGCTGCTCAAGACCATGAACATGCGCGACAAGGCCCGGTCCGACCTCTACCTCGCCCAGCTGCGCGTGCAATCGGCGCCCAACACGCCCGGCTTCGGCCCCAAGTCGCCCACCTTTTCGCAATACGCCCTCTCCCCCCGCTTCCCGCCCTCGCAGTACCAATCCTTTGACGACGTCGAGAAGGGCTACGGTGCCGGTCCCACCCAGCAGCAGCAGCAGCCATTCACCCCCGGCGGCGGCGGCCAGCGTCTCATCATCCCTCAGTCGTCCTCCTTCAGCTCGCCCAAGATCGACACGGGTTTCAAGCTGCAGGCTCCTCCGTCAAAGGCCAACCCTGCCACGCCCGTCACGCCCAAGGGCGGGTTCATGACGCCCTCGTCTTCCAACGCGGTCTCGCCCGTGGATCCCATGCCTCAAATCAACCTGCCCCAGCCTCCCCCGCCGGTGGTGGTGCAGATTGCGCACGCGCCGATGGCGGATGGCGAGCAGCAGTATGAGGCGGTACCGATCCCCGGCGCTTACGCCGGTCAGGCGATCAAGAACCCCCCGCCGCCGACTATGCAGACGAGGTTTGCTTAGGTGGTGGTCACTGGGTTCGGATGATGGCAATGCCAGTGGCAGTGGGTGTCAATAAGCAAGGCGATGAAAGTATATATATCACCTCTTTTCTCTTCTAAAGCAATCTCTTTTTCCCTTTGTTTATAGGTTTTACTTTGTTTTGTTTCAAATTGGATATACCAAAGGCGTTGGCAGGATTACAACTTTTGTTTTTTTGGAATAGCGATGGGAAGCTAGGATGGATGGATGGATGGAATGACGGAAGAAAAATTGAGCGGAGCAGACAGAGAGTGTGTATAATATGAGCGGGAACTCGAGATACGTGAAAGATGAAGATGGATGGACGGATAAGATGACAGAAGGTCAAGTTACCTTTTTTTCCCCTGAAACAGATCAGACAGGAAATGAACAAGAGAATAGAATTCTCTATGTGTGTGTGTGGATTGAATCAAACAAACAAGTTCGTCTGACATTCAAGAGTTTCACTTGAACATGGTGACATGTGAGGGTAAGTAGTTGGCGTTTGTCTGGAGAAAGAAAAAAAGAAAAAGTACTCCCGTGTCTTGAATATCGTGATGCTCGCAAACGAACTTGGGTGGTTGCCAACCCTCCCCAGCCACAAACCACTCGGTGAAGCCATCACCAAGATTCATGTGTAGCTACATTGAAAAAAAATCTGGGTTACTCACCGAGGTGAATCCTAGCACCGTAGTGTATGTAACACCATAATAGTTTTCCCAGCCATTATAACAATTACAAGCGGGAGCACCCGACGCATCATCCCCGTTTCCTTCGGTGGTAGTAATAAGCTTTGATGTTCAACAAGTCCAAGGCCCGCCCGGGGGAGGGGCCCGGGGAATTGAGGTCAAATCCAAGCTCCACTCTGCTCAGGGGCGCCAGCTGTCAGCCTGCCAGACATCGATCTGAGCTGAGGTGCCCAGGCCAGCGGGCAGCAGGAACAGATCAAGACTGATCCACTTTCGACAGCTGCCAGCCCGAGTTCATCTCATCCCTCAGCAGTCAGGCACTGCACTGCACTGCACTGCACTGCACTGCACTGCACTGCGCTGCAATGACGGACGCTGGCGGGACCTGCACTAACAATTAATTTGCCGGCGGGACGAACAATGCGCGCGGACGGGTGAGGGACTGGACTGGACCCTTTGCCGCTGATGAAGGTGGAATTGGACCCATTCGGGGATGCCACATGTAATTGTCGCGTTTCGGATCGGGTCAAGTCCCCAAGTGTGTTCCTGAATCAGGCCGACGCTTTCCATTACCGTGCCTCTCCTTTCCCCTTTATCTTCTTCTTCTTCTTCTCGTAGTTAACAGTAGACTTGGATGTGATAGAAAGTGAGGTAAACCACGTCGAGTAAAAAGGTACGTCCATAAAGTTATCGTGATAACTGAGCAAGGGTAATTCGCAACTTACACCATACCACACCACACTACACCACTCGACCGCCGCTCGCCGTGATCGTCATCACCCCCATTTTCCCCAAAAGAAGAAGAAAAGGGGACGGGAGCTCTCCAATTCCCGTCCTTCCCAAAGTCGCGACCTCACCTCCAGCTCAACTACACACAGCCCACTGCAGTCCAGTCCAGTCCAGTCCGGTCCTAGCAATATAACTAACCAAACGGGCGTCATTGTGCAGACCAGCCTACCAAGCCAAAACCAAGCTTTCCCACTCATCCTCCGTCGTCGTCTCGCTCCCATCATCCCCCAACCCCGAACCGGCAAGTCGCTCTGTACCACCTACCTACCTACCTCACCAAACCGACCGATCCAATGGCATCCCGCCAAGCCTTCCGAAGCCTAGCTGCTTCCACGTCTTCTTACACAACTACCACCACCCTCCGCGCCGCCACCACCACCGCCGCCGCTTCTCGTCGTTGCGCATCTACTTTTGCGAACACTACCCGTACCGCTCGTCGCAGCACCCAGTGGACGACTTCTTCCACTTTCCAGCAAGGACAAGGAAGAAGCAACAGCAACAAGAGAAGCTACAGCACCCCCGGTGGCTCTCCCCCGCCTAGGGACACCAACAAGATCAGCTTTTGGCCTTTTGTGGCTTTGATTGCCTTGACGTCCGGAGGGTATATGTTGTTGGTTAATCGGAGGAAAGGTGAGTTCTTCTTTCTGTTTGTTTGATATAATCTGGGGTATAAAAGAGAAGAACAAGAAGAATGTGAAGAGGGGTAAAGCGGTGGTACTAGAGACAGTCAGTCAGTCAGTCAAGTCGGCCGACGGGAGACGCACGTGGAAGCAGTGCAGTGCCGTGCAGTGAGAATGCAGGGCAAGGAAGAGGCGGAAAGGGCAGCTCATTAGCTTCCTGCTGCTGCTGCTGCTGCCGCCCTGCGGCTTTGCTGCCCTGCGGCTTTGTCAGACGAGACGAGACGAGACGAGATGAAACGTCCGACACAACCCACCACGGGCAGTTCCTAAACTAAGCCCACCACTGCACCTACCTCTCTACCTCCCTATTTTACCTACCACTGCCTCACAAACCTCCAAAACAACAAAGCTAACCACCCCCATCACCACTTAGACATGCCTCCCAACCCCACCTCCTCCTCAGCCGCGGCTGCTCCTGCTCCCGCCCCCTCCTCCTCAACAACTACAACCCCTGCCTTCTCCCCCTCCGACGTAACCGTCATCTTCGTCCTCGGCGGCCCCGGCGCCGGCAAGGGCACCCAATGCGCCCGTCTAGTCCGCGACTACGGCTTCACCCACCTCTCGGCCGGCGACTTGCTCCGCGCCGAACAAGACCGTCCCGGCTCGCAATACGGCCAATTAATCCGCGACTGCATCAAGAACGGCGCCATCGTCCCCATGGAAGTCACCGTCGCTTTGCTCGAAAACGCCATGCGCGACACTCTTACCTCCTCCAAAACTGGTGGTAAAGGTCGGTTCCTGATTGATGGGTTCCCCCGCAAGATGGACCAAGCGTTCAAGTTCGAAGAGGTCGTTTGCCCTGCGAAAATGGTGTTGTTCTATGATTGCCCGGAGCAGGAGATGGAGAAGAGGTTGTTGGAGCGCGGCAAGACGAGTGGGCGTGAAGATGATAATGCCGAGAGTATCAGGAAGCGGTTCAGGACGTTTGTGGAGACGAGTATGCCGGTTGTGGATCACTATGAGAGGGAAGGAAAGGTGGTCAAGGTGGATTCGACGCCGGGGCCGGATAAGGTGTATGAGGAGACGAGAAAGCAGTTGAGGAGGGTGTTTGGGGATAAGTTTTAGAGGGGGTTGACTTGACTTACTCCGGGGATGAGATGGGAGTGGTTGACGGGGGGTTAAGGTAACTTGGTTTCTACTATTTCTGAGATGGGGTTGGCCGTTCCATGAAATAAAAACTTTTAAATACTACACTACTACAGATTTATTAGAAAGGGAACGGAGCGATGGAGTCGCGAAGACGGTCGGTGGATGGATGGGATGGTTTTACCTGTTTGGAAATTGAACTTGCTCTGTCTTTTTCCAAATATCGAGATGGCATGGTATTGCGTTTATACTATTCATCGTTGGGAAGCCTGAGCATCATGATTTCATTGTTTCCACTGCTGGTGGCCATAGACGTTGTCTCAAAAAGCATTGCTATTACGCTTCCCTTTCCTTGTATCCTGAGTACCATGATCTATACTCCACCATTTTGGGCTTGCCCTCACGCATCATCATGCATCACCATAAACGGAGAGAGAAAACCTGAGATTGCTGGATATCTAAACCGCCCATTCCTCGGAATGGTACAACAAAAATGCATACCCGCCAAAAAAGTGTAGCAGCTCTACCTTGAAAATGGTGTTCCGTAATTTTTTGGGGCTCACAACTCCTTGATAGATAACAACAACAACAACAACAACAACCCATTTTGATGTAAAATTCCTTTCCCATTCAAATGAACTGAACTGAACTGATGACCGAGCGGGATGATACAGGGGCAAGACATCGCTCATTTTCTTTTTGAAAGACCCTCCTCATAACTCTATGCTACTAGCAACAACCAATTATTGCAGCAAAATATCCTGTTGGCAACCCCCTTCAGTCATCATCATCCGTGCGTTGCCTCGTCTGTCTGGCACCGCCGGTACGTCCTCCCCGGTTGCCGCCGCGCTGCTCCGACTCGCCAAGACCGGCGTTGGCCAGCTTGCGCTCGAGCTCCTGCTGCTCACGCTCACGCTGGGCCTCGACATCGGTCTGGGCCTTGCGCACGACGCCGACGAGCCTATCGACGACGGTCTTGAACTGGTCGACGCGGGTGCCGAGCTCGCGCCACTGCTTCTCGCCAAAGACGCGGTAGGTGGTGCGGTGAACCAAAAAGACCTTTTGCTTCTGTGACAGGCGGCCCTCGACCAGCTTGGAGCGGATCACGTCAATGGTCCACATCTCAACGTCCTCGTCGGGGATCTGGAGGGCCTTGGCGATGCTGGCGTAGGGGATCTCGCGGTTCGGGGTGCTGGCGGCGAGCGAGGCAAAGGTGAGCAGGCGCATCTTGCGCTGCAGCTTCTCGTGGTCGAGCTTCTCGTTCTCGATCCATCCCTGGTGCTCGTCCCTGAAGTCGTTGTAGTCCTCGAGGTCCTGCTCGGTGAAGATGTCGAGGAGCTGCGAGTAGACGGGGTGCGAGTCGCTCAGGGCGTGGACCGAGGGGAGCGAGCGCAGGTCGTTGAAGTCAAAGCGGGTGGGCGACGAGATGGCCATGCGGAGGGCGCGGAGGGAGAGCTTCTGGGCCTCATCGGAGGCGACCTCGTCCTGGTTGTCGCGGTCGAAAGTGGCCAGAGCCTTGAGGAGGTAAAAGTAGGACTCCCTGCACACACACACAAGAAAAGGTTAGCATGAGGCCGTAAAGGTGCACAATGGTTGTACGATACATGATGCTATGAAAGGTAGATACTTACTCCTGATCACCGGCGTCGTTGGCGGCATCGGAAACCTCGACGTAGAGCTTGCGCTGGCTCTCCGAGTCGGACTTCCATTCCTGGAGCCAGCCCTCGACGTTCTTTAACCTGGGCTTGAGGAGGTCGAACTGGCTGTTTTGCCTGATGAAGCGGACGATCTGCATAAAGACATTGAAGCGCAGCGGGTTGGACTTGTCGAGGAGGTTGAAGATGGTGGTGAGCGCATTGGAGGCGAGGGTGAAGCCGTGGGTGGGAGACGAGGTGATGGGCTTGAGAAGGTTGGCGCAGAGGGTGGGCAGGTACTTCTTGGGCTCCTCGGACTGGAGGACGAGGTGGATGAGGAGGTTGTAGGCGGGGGTGAAGTCCTTCTCGGGGGCGGCGTTGAGGGAGTGGGAGGCCTTGACGATGAGGTCAAGGGCATCCTCGCGCTTGTCCTGCTCGAGGAGAGGCTGGACCTGCTCGCCGACCTGGACGAAGTCGGCCATCTCCTGCGCCAGCTCGGCGAAGGTGCCGTCGACGAAGATCAACTGGGGGGTAGCCATGTTGGTCGGTGTTGTCGGTGTGTGTGCGTGTGTGGTTGTTTGACGACGGGCTACCGAACTATTCCCACTTGGACCTAAAGGCTGGAGTGAGGTCGGGTTGAGGCGAGACACACGGCGGGACGGGGGGGACGGAGGGGGGACACGGCGACGGGGAAAATATGGCCGGGGACAATCTGATAGTATGTCCTGGTGCTAAGGGTCGACACTGGCCGGAAACGATACGGATATCCTGTCAGACGTGGGAGGGGCCCCAAAGGAAGTTTTCTTTAGTGGCAGGGCTCCGCTCTTTCTTTTTCTTTGCACAGTTCCTGGGCCTCGACTCGCTGAGTGGTGTGTCCCCCTCTCTCACGACAGAGACCGGAAAATGCCCCGCATTCAAATGCCAAGCCCACCGCCTATTTTTGCCCTGTGCTGAAGAAGAGCTGTTCTGTGTGCTCCAGCCAGTCACGTGCAGGATTGTCAGGGTTATTGCAGTCATCTGCTTGTGACATAGAAAACCCTGACCCATGGGGTGGTTCGTCCCAGCGAGGTCGTGACAATGTCAAGCTCCAGTCCCTTTTCCTTTGCTTGTCACCGTGCACTTGACATTGTCCCCAGCTTCTCCAAATCCGATCTTCAAGACAAGATGGCGACCTTTGTAAGCTCACCTAAAACACAAACAGAAGCGGGAAGCGAAGAGGGGGTCACGGGTCATCTGAATCGGATATCCAGGCAGACACTTGGAGTGTGGTGGTGACCCGGGCAACGGCCACCTTTACAGCCTGAGGATATTGTATCAGTTCCTTCCTTTTTCCACTGACGTGATGGGAGTCTCAAAATAACAAATGACCGGCACGCCTGACAGCCCAGAAGGATGGTGAAGAGTCACAATGAACCCACAATAGATTCCCGAGAAAAAGAGTGATGACCAACCAGCCCTACGCTATGTATGCAATGCACATGGTGACATTCAACAAGGGCTGAGGGTGTGCACCGCCGAAAGAAAGTCAACAAGTGTACCTAGCGTACAGAGACAGCAACAGTAAACAAAGCCCCTTGAGGGCATATTTCAAATTGCATATACACGTAGATATTTCATAGAGAATCAAATCAATGTTGTCAACTGGATGCTGTTTCCCTTTCCGTGGATTTGTTGACTTGTACGCGCCAAAAGAGTGGAGTCATGGCGAGGCGAGGCGCGGCGTGATTTCCAAGCGAAAAAGATGAGGAAAGGGAAGCTTCCACTTGGTCATCAAGGCTTGTAAGGTAATGTACATACACTGTGAATCCCTGACGTTGTATGGTTGCATTCTGGTGGAGGCCCCCAATACCTTAGCACTGCCCGCGGCCTATCCCAGTCCCTCGCGAACTGCACAGTAGCATCATTCAGTCACTCAGTCATTCTCTCTCCCCAGCCCGGCGCCGTCACCACCACCACCCCATCTTTTTCCCACTCTACACACAAGCTACCTGGAACACACCATCCCGCCACTTGATCATTTGAGATCCTCTCTTTTGAATCGAATCCTCGGCTCCGGCATTAACTGACCAACGCACCACTCGACTCGTTGCCCTACAATCCTAGCAGCCATGGCTCCCCGAGCTGAAGGCAGCAGCACTCTTAAAAGAGCTCGCGTACGTCCGTCCACTCACTCCCCCATCCCATATGTCATGTCATGTCATGACTGCACTTTTGATTAGGTAGTCCATGGCGCATTGCGTCACCACCAAGCATGCTCCGTCGACTAATATGCGCTCTACTTCAGGGTTCTGCCGACGACAACGATTCCTTCAAGAAACCCCGTCGCTCCGAGCGCCTCTCCTCCCAGCGCACCGGCGACAGCCCCGAACCCAAGCAGAAGACGCCCCTCAAGACCACCAAACAACTGCCATCTCCAGTTACCCACGACTCCGATGAATTCCCACAGGATTCCAAAGAGCCCACTGCCACCCCTCCAGCCGGCCGCCCCAGCCAGCTGTCGCAAATCAGCCCCCGCCCAGAAAACCAACATTCTCAGTCGCAAGCGTCCCAGCTCAATGACACACAAGCCTTTAGCCAGTTGCCCGATCTCGACAAGGCATTGTCGGACGAGGTCGAGGATGAAGTCAAGGAGGGAGTTTGGGGCTACCTGTTTCCCCTAGATCCTAGGTACGGCGGCCGCTGCGTCGTCTTGAGGAGGAGGGCCGCTTGTCCCCTTCCGGATACGGTCTCACAGGCGGTTGGCTCCAAGAGAGGTAAACGCGGCCAGAAGGCGCTGATCAAGGAGGAGCACGATTTGGACAAGACCAAGGTCAAGGGACTTCCATCCGGTGGCTATCTGATCGGCCGACACCCAGAATGCGGTTGGTTCACCTGTACAATCCCCGCTATACGCCACCATGCTAACATGACATTAGACATCCAAATAGAGGACCCCATCGTTTCGAACCGGCACTGCATCATCTTCACAGAGAACAAGGGCAACGACACCATCGCCGTATTAGAGGATCTGTCGAGTAACGGAACGTTCGTCAACGAGGCAATAGTGGGTCGCAATCGACGGAGAGAGCTCCAAGAGCTAGATGAGATCGCCGTTCTTGGCACAGCCCGCTTCATCTTCCGATACCCCAAAAGTCGACACACCAGCGCTTTCAGGCAGCAGTACACCACGCTGCAGAAGTTGGGCAAGGGCCATTTTGCCGAGGTTTACCTGTGTGTGGAGAAGTCGACGGGTTCACAGTATGCCGTCAAGGTATTCTCCAAGACTCCTGGCGTCGAGGAGCGGTCCAAGGACGAGGGTCTTCAGCAGGAAATTGCCGTGCTGATGGGGGTTAGTCACCCCAACGTCTTGTGTCTCAAAGATACCTTCAATGAGCCCAACGCCGTTCACCTAGTCCTTGAGCTGGCGCCAGGAGGCGAGCTCTTCAACTACATTGTCAAGAAGACCAAGCTTTCCGAGAACGAGTGCCGCAAGTTGTTTACCCAGCTTTTCCAGGGTGTCAAGTACTTGCACGACCGCAACATTGTCCACCGCGACATCAAACCCGAGAACATTCTGCTGGTCGACGATGACCTGCACGTTAAGCTGGCTGATTTTGGTCTTGCCAAGATCATTGGTGAGGAGTCCTTCACCACCACTCTCTGCGGTACGCCCAGTTATGTGGCACCGGAAATCCTCACCGACACTCGTCATCGCAAGTACACCAAGGCGGTCGATGTCTGGTCTCTCGGTGTAGTGCTGTACATCTGCTTGTGCGGCTTCCCACCTTTTTCGGATGAACTCACCTCGCCCGACTTCCCTTATTCCCTTTCAGATCAAATCAGGCAAGGCAAATTCGACTACCCATCGCCTTACTGGGACCCGGTGGGTGATTTGGCTCGTAAGTTACCTTTTCTTATATCAAATGTCGCTGTTCTCAATACTAACAATGCCCCAGTTGACCTGATTGATTCCATGCTCGTCGTCGACCCCGAGAAGCGCTTCACCATCGACGATTGCCTTTCCCATCCATGGATGACGCAAAAAACGCCTGGCGTCAATGACAGCACCAACGGCCTCGTTAACGGGATCGCCGGCCTCGACGTCACCAGGCGCGGCGTCCTCCGCGAGCGCACCCTCCTCAGCTCCATCAACACAGTCGAGATCGCCGACAAGATCCCACTTGGCGAGAACAAGCCCGAGCTGAAGATCTACAAGAAGAACCCCACGGAAACGGTCGGTGGGCCCAGCGAGCACGAACTTGCCGGTGCACAAGCAGGACCCTCCCGCCAAAAAGAGGCCAGACCCGATGACAACAGGGACCCAAATGAGTTTATGAAGATGGGTGGTAAGGGTGATGAGGTACTCTTTGCGGACGATCCGAAAAGTAATTACCCAACCGCCAAAAAGGATGTGAAGGATATTGTCGAGTCGTCGACAAAGACGAACGGCAAAGGTAAGGGTAAGGGTAAGAAAGAATAATAATGGGGTTCATGATCACTCCGTACTTACTTCTTACCCGGCCTCCCTTTACCAAAAAAAAAACTTCAATGATGAAATATGGGTATTGGCGTTTGGAGCATTGCATTTGGTTGTTAGAGTAATAATTGGGTTGTATCTGTGGGATAAGGAGGACATATATTACAATGATGGATGTTGGGGGGGATGGCATGGATCTGATGTTCTATGTAATGGTATGTCCAAAGCCAGGACAGGTCATGACATGTTTGTTGTTGAAACAAAGTAGGCAAGCAAGCAAGCGGATTTGGGATTGTCATTATGGATGCAAGATTTCATGGATGAAGGACGGAAACTGGTACATATATCACTGGAGCTTAAACTCTTTTTTTCTCTTCCATTTCCTTTCCTCCTCTTCTTCTTTCGTCACTCCACTATATGTGTGGATCGAGAGAGTTTTTTCTTTAGCCAAAAAAAGCGGTGCTGCATGGGACTTTAAGGCGAGGTTCTTGCGAAGGCGAGATTCAGTGGTATGATGAGTTATGTTATTTTGTATGTATGTATGTATGTGTGCGCGTGCGAAGTACATCTGAGGACACCTAGATAGCGTTTTTCT